CTTGAGGGGCTCAGAGACTGACAGCTGATGAGCTCTCTGAGGATCTAACTGGTCGCTCCACCGTCCCCCTCATCACGCTATACTGGCCCTCTCACGGCACCACAGAGGCGCATTAGTGTGATCCCTGACCTCTTTCTGCTCACCAGGAAATAGATAGCTTTCCATTTCCTGCAAGACTTATTAGAGTGCAGCGCTCTTATGTCTGATTCACACTATAGGTCCGACCCTATAGTGTAGTGTGAAGCGGTCTTGTTTTGTGCACTGTCCTCTTCTAAGTGTTCAAACCTGCATGTATACAAAGCTGTCGAACTTGCCCTGTTCCTCAAAGAAAGAGAATGCTTAGCACTTATTAACTACTTATAAATCACTTATTAATTATTTATTAACAGAAAGGGTCTGCCTCTGGTGAGGTTATCTGCAGGTCATGCAATGCATAGTAGCATGTGCTGGTCTGCCATGTTCGCTCCTCTGCAGTGTAAATATTATTGGATGGATATCCCCCCGGAGATAAACACTAGTTACAAATGCCATCTCTCTCACAAGGAGCCACGGGCTGTTTATTTGTTGAGGTAAACAGAAGTTTCCACTAGTTAGTTACTTAACGTGTCCTAGAGTTGTCCTAAGAGCTCTGTGTTCAGTAGAGTAGAATGGCATCAAAACATAGAGAATCATAGAGTAGAATGGTAGACTGCTCATCTAAATACCTGCTAACAACTGGCCACATCTATCCGCTTTATGCAAACCAGATGAATAGTCAGAGTAGGGCTGAGCGGTATACTGTATTTTAAGATACACCAGTATTGATGCTCGTACCGGTTTGGGTTTTTACTTTACCTTCTGCAAGGGTATTTGAATGTTTGGTGTGTTTAATGTGATATGCCGTGTGTAACGTCCATTTTTATAGTTTACTTTGCTAGTTCAGTCATCTCTCTCCACTCTCTCTCCATGCCGCTATCCACACAGATCTAGCCCCGCCCCCTGTCACTCAAGGAGCGTATTTGTTGTTCCTCCACCACGAGACACTTGCGTCGTCTCTGCATTGTCAGTGCAGCACATGCAACAATGTCGATGACAACAATGCTGTTTTCACTTTGCTTCTTAATATAAGTCCACTAGCGTTCTATAATTACACTGTTCATTTGTGTTTCTTACATCTGCAAACCGCTAGTTTGTATTTTCCTAACAAGTTGGGCCTATTCATTTGTTTGTCATGTCAAACACTGTATTCAAAGTGCCCACTATATTCTAACTATAGAATTAGAATAATCATTCTATTTCCATGATTCCAACAGTTCACCCAAGTGTTTTGCTCTAAATTTAGTCATTTAGCAGACGCTCTTATCCACAAGTCAAATCGCAATTGCAAGGTTTGGTTAAAAATAAGGCCTAGATCGTTTGCCCATATCGTGAGCCCTACGTGGCAGTGTGGAAATGATCTCAAATGAGCGCAGGAAATGCAGACATTTATGAAAATATCAAATCGCCCAACCGTAAGTCAGTCTCCTAATAACCCTATGTTGAGACAGTCTAAACTTCTGTGTGTGTGTGTCTGTGCGCATGAGTGGAGCGTGTGTGTGCATGTGTGTGAGAGGCGGGGGTCTGTGTATGTAGATCCCCTGGAATTAGGGATGAGATTTGCGAAAGCCCAGTGGAGCAGTCCAGATGGCTGTGACCCCACTGCACCCCCTACATCCATACTTGATTACACATTAGGGAAAATATCAGATGGGTATCTGATATGCAAAAGATCTGAATTGGGATGCCTTTGTAAATGCAGCCTCATACACACACACACACTTATCTTCAATGTCCCACACCCAACGCTCTCTCTTGCTCTCTCTCTCCCCTCTTTCTTTCTTACCCCTCTCTCATCCATACTGTCTCTTTCTTTCTCTCTCTGTTTCTCTCTCTCTCTCCCTTTCTGTGTTATTTTCACAGTCAACGGTCAGAGTAATGGGAGCTACCTCTGAATGTTTGGGGATCGCCATCAATCTCTGCCCTGCTCCTACCCTGTGTGTGTGTGCGCATGTGCTCGTGCGTGCATGTGAGCAAGGCTGTTTATGTGTGTTCAAATTATTCCTATTAATGCGTGTGTGCATTCTGTGAATTTCATCTCCTTCTTTGGCGAAGCATCAGCCACAAGAGCACAGTAGCTAGCCACCCCCCAGGAACACGTTCTGTGTCTGTTCTCTCACCTCTCGCTCTCACTCACTCTCACTCGCCTTCTGCTTAATTTCAAGACCAACTGTCATAAATGATTCCTCTATCCTTGTGCACACAGAACAGGCACACAGAACTTAATGTCCTGAACATTGAACACTGTGACTGTAGCACTGTACCATTGGAAATGTAGCTTCATGCCCTAGCCTAAGGGAGATCCCCTTTTCCTCTGAACAATGAATGAATGTAGGGTTTCAGCTTCTCTCCAGTATGTACAGTAGTGAATAATCCTTATAACAGTCTGCGTTTGACCATTGGTTCCTTAACCAGTGGTTTGGTTTGAAGTGGTTAATGGTCTGTGATCCTTGGTCACTGGCTCGTGAGCTCAATTATTACGTGGTCAATGGGGTCCACAGTTGCCCGAAGGCCTAGATAATAATGGCTACAGTAGCTTAGGGTAGCTACATTGGCTAGCTGACTCTTACTCATAGCGTGCCCCAAATTCTCCCACCGGTGCTCTTATGTCTAATAAAGACTCTTGCCTGATTCCAAATCATACTGGGGCATTAAAAAGTACTTAAGAACTGGGGGTAGATTCCCAGGCACCTGTCTGCCCATTGTCTTATCTATCTGCCCATCTCACTGTTACAACCACCAGGATATTACTAACAGATTAAACCCAGCATTTACCCTTCCCCTCATCTCCCCATGTAATCTAACACCAGACATCATGGCTCCTGTAGCAGTGAGTGGTTGGACAGGAGAGTGGAGCGTAGGAATTGGCCCACGCCAGAGAGGGCACAGTGGGCAGAGCATGACCGTCTGGACTTTCCCACGACCCGCAGAGCTGGGCTGAGCTAAGGCTGGCCTGAGTGCAAGTGAAGGGGCTGAGCTGAGACTGGGTCCCATCAATAACATGTACACTACCAGTCAAAGGTTTGGACACACCTACTCATTCAAGGGTTTTTCTTTATTTTTACTATTTTTTACATTGTAGAATAATAGTGAAAACATCAAAACTATGAAATAACACACATGGAATCATGTAGTAACCAAATAAGTGTTAAACAGATCAAAATATATTTTGTATTTGAGATTCTTCAAATAGCCACCCTTTGCCTTGATGACAGCTTTGCACACTCTTGGCATTCTCTCAACCAGCTTCATGAGGTAGTCACCTGGAATGCATTTCAATTAACAGGTATGCCTTCTTAAAAGTTAGTTTGTGGAATTTCTTTCCTTCTTAACGCGTTTGAGCCAATCAGTTGTTTTGTGACAAGGTAGGGGGGGTATACAGAAGATGGCCCTATTTGGTAATAGACCAAGTCCATATTATGGCAAGAACAGCTCAAATAAACAAAGAGAAACGACAGTCCATCATTACTTTAAGACATTAAGGTCAGTCAATACGGAAAAGTTCAAGAACTTTGAAAGTTTCTTCAAGTGCAGTCGCAAAAAACTATCAAGCGCTATGATGAAACTGGCTTGCATGAGGACTGCCACAGGAATGGAAGACCCAGAGTTACCTCTGCTGCAGAGGATAAGTTCATTAGAGTTACCAGCCTCAGAAATTGCAGCCCAAATAAATGCTTCACAGAGTTCAAGTAACAGACACATCTCAACATCAACTGTTCAGAGGAGACTGTGTGAATCAGGCCTTCATGGTCGAATTGCTGCAAAGAAACTACTACTAAAGGACACCAATAAGAAGAAGAGTCTTGCCTGGGCCAAGAAACACGAGCAATGGACATTTAGACCGGTGGAAATCTGTCTTTTGGTCTGTTGTCCAAATTTGAGATTTTTGGTTCAAACCGCCGTGTCTTTGTGAGACGCGGTGTAGGTGAACGGATGATCTCTGCATATGTTGTTCCCACCGTAAAGCATAGAGGAGGAGGGGTTATGGTGTGGGGGTGCTTTGCTGGTGACACTGTCTGTGATTTATTTAGAAATCAAGGCACACTTAACCAGCATGGCTACCACAGCATTCTGCAGCGATATCCCATCTGGTTTGGGCTTAGTGGGACTATCATTTGTTTTTCAACAGGACAATGACCCAACACACCTCCAGGCTGTGTAAGGGCTATTTTATCAAGAAGAAGAGTGATGGAGTACTGCATCAGATGACCTGGCCTCCACAATCCCCTGACCTCAACCCAATTGAGATGGTTTGGGATGAGTCGGACGGCAGAGTGAAGGAAAAGCAGCCAACAAGTGCTCAGCATATGTGGGAACTCCTTCAAGACTGTTGGAAAAGCATTCCAGGTGAAGCTGGTTGAGAGAATGCCAAGAGTTTGCAAAGCTGTCATCAAGGCAAAGGGTGGCTATTTGAAGAATCTCAAATATAAAATATATTTTTCATTTGTTTAACACTTTTTTGGTTACTACATGATCCCATATGTGTTATTTCATAGTTTTGATGTCTTCACTATTATTCTACAATGTAAAAATAAAGAAAAACCCTTGAATGAGTAGGTGTGTCCAAACTTCTGACTGGTAGTGTATATGGGTCTAGAGCAGGGCTGGCCAGTTCTTCACTTGTAGAGATACTACGTGTGCAGACAATTAGTAACCACTTAGTACCACAGACATGCTGATCAATCAACTCGTATAGGAATCGTCAAAAGGATACCTACCTAATGCACTTTGCTTTTAAGAATCAATTGGTTATACAAATCAAATGGTCATAGACTGATGGAATTCTGGGATTCCGCTATCTGGTTCTGTGTATCTCTCTCTCGCTATCTCTCTCGCTATCTCTGTATGTGTGTGTGAATATGAACATCACTCTTCGTCAGAGACTTATTAAACGTAACCCTCTGTCTTTCTCTATTTCTCCGTAGGCGCGGCGGAAGGAGGTGTTCCTCCAGGAGCGCTACGGCCACTTCAGTCTGACCGACCCCTTCCTAGCCCTGCAGAGGGACTTTGAGTGTGTCCCTGGGGGGGACAAGGAGCGCCGGCCGGTGGGCTCCAGCCCCATCGCAGTCCTGGAGGCTGTCATGGCCCACTGCAGGAAGATGCAGGAGAGGATGTCAGCAGAGCTGGATGCTGCTGAGAGCAGGCAAAAAAGGGTAGGGAATGGGAGGCTATGTGTAGACAATACTATGGTATGATATAACAATATGATAACCATGTCTGTCGGGTTTGTGTGTGTGTGTGTGTTCGAGATGCATTTGAAGTTGCTTTGCCATATTTGGTTAATGTCAAATGTGTGAATGTGTGTATATAAGAGAGCAAGTGTATGTATCTGCTGTAGCTCTTCTCTGTCCCTGGTCAATATAGGACTATCTGTCTGTGATTTAACTCCACCATGGCCAGATGTGTTCTGTCTCTCCCTCTCTGTGTGCTATTCCACCAGAGGTAGTGGGTGAGGGATGGAGTGGGTGAGCATGAGGGTGTATGTACGGGAGGTTGGCAGGGTGAGTGTGAGGAGGATGGTGTGGGAGTATGAGGGGGATGGTGTGTGTGTGTGTGGCGGTGTATCATTTTCTATGGTTAGATAGTTAGAACGTTGGTTTGTGTGGAATGGTGCTTGCCTGGGAGGAGGGTGGGGTGTGTGTGTGTGTGAGGAAAACGGTTTTCCTTGTCCTGCTCCTGAACCCTTACACCAGTCAGAGCCAGCAGAGACCGAGACTCTCTCCAACCGGGCTTGTGTGGCCGCAGAGACACCTCTGTTAGCCAGCGCTGTGCTGTGTGCTCCAGATAAGCAGTGAGACACAGAGCCAGCCAGGCCAAGACTGGACAGCAGCCAGGGGATGATGAGGAGAGAATGGAAGAAGGGGGGAGGTGATTGAGGAGTATTTAGAGGATCCTGTTCCATACTAGCTAATTCCGTTGCAAAACGTTTTGCTACGGTGTGCCCTACTCAACATGACCCTGCTGTTTGTGTTTAGCCATTGAGACACAATGAAACCTGCAACCGCTCCATTTGACTCAGTGTCACTACAGCAGCACAGCATGGAGTCTAAAACACTAAAAGCTCTTGGCTCATTCCCCCCCCCCCCCGATCCCCCCCCCACCCGATTCCTCCCCCCCCCCCACCCGATTCCTCCCCCCCTCCCCTCCCGATTCCTCCCCCCCCTCCCGATTTCCTCCCCCCCCCCCTCCCGATTCCTCCCTCCCATCCACTCCTGGAATAAACCACCTCCCCCAACGTTCTGCCTTTGTTATGATGACAGGCCAAAAGATTGCATGGTTGTAGCTAGCTGTTACATCCGCCACTCACCAGAACATGACAACAACGAGAACACCAAACAAATCATTATCGCTGGTCTGTGAATAATAACATACTAGAACATAAACAAAGATATTAAAAAACAAACATTTTATCCTATACTATCTTTATGCCGACCCCATACAATGTCATGTTTCTCTGAGTAAGTGAGTAAGCTTCTTGAAATATTCATGGGTTTTAAAGCCAGCTGAAAGGCCTGCTGCCATTCCCCCGTATGTAACACACAGCTTACCTGCCATGCAGAGTGTAAGGCTGTGTACTGTCATAATGCATTATGAATGAGTCATTAGGAACAGGGCAGGGTCCAATACATGAGGTGGCACGTGATGCCGGTGAGGACAATACAAGCAAATCAAATGGTCCTTTAGGGAGAATATAGACTACTCTAACAAGACACAATCCTAAAGGGGAGAAATGAGTGTTTGCTCATGTCAACAGACCTCACCATAGTACAGATGGTATAGTTGGAACTGGGAAGTGCTTCATTTCAATTGGATGTCATTCTGTTGCTATTCAGCTTCATAGGAGTGACATAACAGTGACTCCGTTGATCAGTCCGAGATGATATGTGTTCGTTCCAGTGAGGATTACAAGGGATGGTGTTTGGGAGGGGGTGGGCAGCAGGCAGGCATAGTGGAGATCAGCCTCATTGTTTGGGCTCGTTAGAGCAGCGGGGCAGGCAATCGCTCGGAAAGCCCAGCTAAGCCTGTACCCTCGCTGCCAACGCACAGCTAACAATAGCAGCCACGCTCCAGATATAGTCGCCCGGGGTTGACAAGTCATCGAAATTCAATCAGATGTTTGAAATGTTAGATTCCATCTACCATTTTGTCTGTGTGAGCGCAGTTCTTCCAATAACTGCTTCTTTGTGTGTGTGTGTGTGTGTGTGTGTGTGTGTGTGTGTCTGTATGGTATTTTTCATATTGACTGTTTCTGTGTAAATGAGGTCTTTTGCTTTCTGACTTATGATTCAATCAATATTCTGAAATGGAGGACTGTTATTGCTGAATTCAAATGGGTCTGTTTTGTATTCTGTGCTCTTTTAGGGAGAGACCGACAATACTTAGGTAATTTAAACATGGCTATTTTCCCCTGTTGTATGAACATGGAGCGGAGAAATGTTCCTCCTTGTTGTTTAGTTTATTGATCACTGCCACTCACCTTGTCCTTTTGAACATACACTGTCAGCTTGCAATTATTGTCAAGGGGTGTTTCCGGAAAGGTTTGTAGCTCTCCAAGATCGTCTTAATTCCATTGTAGAGTTTCAAATCTTTGGTTATCAGACCAGGAACTAGATTGAATGCGAACAGAGTTTTAACAAACATGAGGAGCCCAGAGAGCACTTCTTAAGTTCATAAAGTGAGCATATTGATTTCAATGTGTTGGTGAGCTGAGCTCTCAGCTCTGGGCGTGATTGAGGGAGGTTCTCATGTGTGAGTAGGGAGGGACTGGAGAAAAGGGAATGTGTGTGCATGCTTGTATGATGGATTAACATTAAGGTGATGTATGATATGTGTGTGACACAGGGCCTACGTGGTATATGTGATGTGCTATAGATCTACTGTATGTCATGTGGGGGAGTGAGTGTGACATGATGTACACTGAGTATATAAAACAACACCTGCTCTTTCCATGACATAGACTGACCAGGTGAAAGCTATGATCCCTTATTGATGTCACTTGTTAAATCCACTTAAATCAGTGTAGATGAAGGGGAGGAGACAGGATAAAGAAGGACTTTTAAGCCTTGAGACAATTGAGACATGGATTGTGTATGTGTGCCATTCAGAGGGTGAATCGACAAGACAAAATATTTAAGTGCCTTTAAACAGGGTATGGTAGTAGGTGCCAACGCTGCTGGTTTTTCACACTCAACAGTTTCCCGTGTGTCTCAAGAATGGTTTACCACCCAAAGGACATCCAGCCAACTTGACACAACTGTGGGAAGCATTGGAGTCAACATGGGCCAGCATCCCTGTGGAATGCTTTCGACACCTTGTAGAGTCCATGCCCTGACGAATTGAGGCTTTTCTGAGGGCAGAAGGGGAGGGTGCAACTCAATGTTAGGAAGGTGTTCCTAATGTTTGCTTTACTCAGTGTATGTGTTGTAAAGGATATACCAGATGTGGGTGGTAGATATGTGTGCTTGATATCTGTGATGTTTGGTGTAGGTGTGATCTGACCGTATGTGTAGGTTCTGACGCAGTTGTGTGAATGTGTGCAGATAATGTGTGTGATTTCTTTAGATTTTTGAGATAATTTGTGTTTGGGATAGCGGTGTGTCGTTCTGTTTCTCTGTCTGTGTGTCTGGCATACAGTATGTGTGTGTTTTCTAAACAACATCTCCCCTGACTGGCTTGTGGTCTCTGTCTCTCAGCTGCAGATGGAGAAACTACAACTACAGAGTCTGGAGCAGGAGCACCGTAAACTAACCGCCCAGCTGAAGGACGAGCGGGAGAAGAACAAGCACATCGTGATGATGCTGGTGAGGGAGTGCAAGCAGCTGGCCACGCGCGTGGTGGAGGAGTCGCAGCGCTTCGACGAGATCTCTGCCCGGCTGGACAAGGAGGGCCGCTCGGCCGGGCGGCTACAGGAGGAGCTGACGGCAGAGAAGCAGCGCGGACACCAGATGGAGGCCAAGATGGAGAAGCAACTGTCAGAGCTGGACACAGAGCGTGAGCAGCTGCGCGCCAGGCTGGGCCGAGAGGAGACCGAGAGCCTGAGCCTGCGCCGGGTGGTAGAGCAGCTCAGGACTGAACGGGACGGTAAAGATGTTGAAGACGGTAAGGATGATAAAATGGTCTCAGCCCAACCGGCTGCTGCTGCTGTGGATCCCACCGCTGCCACGAACATGCCACAACCCAAGCCTACAGCCTCTGTTGCCGTGGCCACAGACCCCGTCAGCTCCCGAACGGCCTCCTGCCAAACGGACCTGCCCCCTCCAGAGGCCGAGGGGCAGAAGAAGCCGAGCCCCTTCACCATCCCTGTCAAACCCACTCCCACCAACTACGCGGGCCTCAGCCTGCCTAAGACGCCCAGCACAGGCCGGGGGCTGGTCCACAGTAGCTCAGGAGGACTTCATCAAACGGGGGAGAACGGAGCAGAGGGCCAGACGCCCCACGGGGGACTTCACTCCCCTGCCCCCACCCCTGCCCTGCCCACGGGGGTGAGCCCTCGCGTCCAGGCTGCCCGCTACAAGTTCCAGGAGCAAGACCAAAATGGCACGGCCTCCCAGAGCAGCCCGCCGTCCCGCGACCTCTCCCCCACCAACCGCGACAATTTTGCCGCCAAGCAGCAGGCGCGCCACACCGTCACGCAGGTCCTCTCGCGTTTCACCAGCCCCCCAGCAGGGGGCCCCAGCGCCCTCCGTCCCGGCCTGCCCCACTCCACCTCGGAGGGGGGCCCCTTCCCCGGCCGCCTGGGCCACCCCATCGGCCTCAAGTCCCCCACCGTGGCCAGGATCGACCGGGGCAACCCGCCCCCCATCCCGCCCAAAAAGCCGGGCCTCTCCCAGACCCCATCCCCTCCCCACCCACCCATCAAAGTGGTGGGGGACGGCAGCCGCTCCCCCGGGGCGGGGTTAAAACCCGCCACGCCCCAGCTGCCGCCCAAACCCGCCCTGGACCTGGTCCCAGCCCTGACGGCATCTCAGGTGGGTGCCTGCCCCCCCGTGAGGGGGCCGCACCAGGCCGCATGTGCAGAGTGCCCCCCCACCAGCACTGCCATCACTGTCAGTAGCCCCTCCTCCATAAACCCCTCTTCCTCCGCTAGTGTTCCATCCCGTAGCCCCCGTGCCCCAGGCAGCCCCCTGGCAACAGCATCAGGTAAAGGGGCACCACGCTCCCCCTACCGCTCTCCCCCTACTGCCTCTACCTCTCCGCTCCAACTATCTTTCCAATGCTAGGTTAGCCTAGCTTAGCGTAGTGTTCGGGATAGAGGGAACCTGCTTTAACCACAGGAGTCCAGAGGAGAACACAACAGAGCAGGGTCAGTCAAGTTTAGCTCTTGCTCTTTGGTGCAGTGACACTGTCCCTCCTGGGCCTAAGCCATTGCTTGAGACCTGATCTCTCTGTACGCATACTTAATTCTCTTCCCCCTCCTTCAGGAGGAGCCTGTCGTCTCCCTGCTTCTCCATAGACCTATTCTGACACGTTATCCCCTAGCTAGGAAGCTGTGAACAGACCAGTGGCAGGCTAATATCATGTGCCTGGATAAAGGGTCAGATGCTAGGCTAGCTAGCTCAGGCTGTAGGAACTAGGAGCGTTACTCCAGTGTTTTTTGAGGCAATGAGGTTTTGAGGCTAGTTTTCCCTGTTCAAATAGGGTGTGTAGGGTTCCTAATGAGTAACCCTCTCCTCTCTGAAGCTGATGCCAGAGGCTGCTCTCTCCTTTCATCCCCTTCATTGTCCACTAGCATGCTGCCTGTGACCCTTGACCCTTCTTCCTCTTCATCACCCCCCTCTCTGCACATTTCCTGTTTTCCCTTCACTAACCCCTCCCACTGACCACTGCCATTCCATTTCCCCTCCTGCACTCTGTTTTGATGTACTTATTATATGTATGTTTACAGTGCTATGAATGTTCATGCTGTTATGCTTAAACTACTACTTCTTGTTTATATTGCAACATATGTTTATTGTCGCAATTGGTTGAAAAAATGTTTTCTACAATTTTCAAGCAATCAAGTAGAGAAGTTGCATGATGCAAGTCCTGTTTTTGTCTTTTAGATTTTATGTCAATGTGAGACAAGTGTTTTGAACTACACTGACTGAAACTAACTTGTAATGTGCTCGTTAGTTTTTACTACTGATTTTACTGTTTTCTTTTGACATTTGCAGTATTCTATTCCCCACATTACTTCATGAAGTGATATATTAGCTTTTTAGGTTAATGGTCACGTTGTCAGATCACTGAGTCACAGTTTCGCTGAGTCCCAGTCCCAAAGTTGTTTAGTTTATTCAAGTCAAATTTGTCTCAATGTTTCAATATGTTGAGGAAATTGTATCATTTCCTACAATACTTTTCGGCTAAAACACACTTCTATTAAGACTATACTACGACTGTACTATTACTATACTACGTCTTACTCCACAGCAGTGAAACAGATTTCATTTTGGACTCAAAAGACCAAACTAACCACCAGATGTAATGTCACCAGTAGCAGTCTGTTTCTCCAGTATCCCAAAACAGTAATTAGTCCGACGTCTTGGAAACGGTGAATGCTGATATACTTCCTCCTCCTCCTCTTTTTTTCAGTCTATCAGACAAGGGTGTGCTCTAAAGGTCTTCAGCTCTCTTTTCTCCAAACTGCACACTTTTAACCTGTTTGTCCCGAGAAGTGCCAAATAACCCACGGCGTCCCTTTGTAGCGTTGTAGCTAACAACGGCCTTCCCTTTCCCTCCCACCCCATCTATAGAGCAGAGTTTAGCATTTTACAGCACAATAGATTAGGGCTGAATAATATTAGGCCTATGCTTTTTAGTTGCAAATTAAAAGTAGGCTATTGGCTTTTATTCTTTCTTCTTGTCCTTTACTGAATCGTGTTATAGTTTCTTCTTTATGTTGACTTTCTTTGCTCACACACATCCTGCTAAGTAACAGTGTTGGTAACATACTAAATGGTTTGTGCATGGATGAGGTTGGTGTGCTGATTGACATTAAATACACAGGTGAATGGGTGAGTGTGATTGTATGTGTGGATGGATGGATGGATGGATGATTGGGCGGTCACCTGGTTGAGAAGACATCATGCCCTCTATTCTACACTTGCACCTGGGTTCCATGACTTGTCCACCTGTTCTCAAAGGCAACTTACTCTATGTAGTTGCTTACTAGGTGATATGTAGCAAAGTGAACGATCTCTTTAAATTCACTCCATTATCAATAGGTTGATGCTTTCTCTTTTGAGCTATAACTAGACTAGTCTTTGTTGTGGAACTCAGGTGTTGTCCCTCCCCCTCTTTCTCCAGCTCCTCTTTATCACAGCTTCCCTGCCATGTTAAACCTTGTGTCCCCTTTAACTCCCATTAGGCTGGTGTCCCTCCATAGTCCCCTCGCTAACCTGCGGTGGGCCCGTTGCCCTGGACGACGGGCGCCCCCTGCTCCTCCAAGCTGCTTCCCAGGGAAATGTCACTTTATTGTCAATGCTGCTTAACCAAGATCCAACGGATAATATTAGTCACCTTGAAGACCACCCAACCTCTGCCTTGTTTTCTGCTGCTCAAAACGGACACACAGGTACAGTCACCAAATGTTATTGGTCACATGCGCCGAATACAACAGGGGTAGACTTTACCATGAAATGCTTACTTACGAGCCCATTCCCAACAATGCAGAGTTAAAAAGTAAGACAAATATTTGCTAAAAAAACAACAATAGTAACACAATAAAATAACAATAACGAGGCTATATACAAGGAGTACCAGTACCGAGTCAATGCGCAGGGGTACGAGGTAGTTGAGGTAATACAGTATGTACATGTAGGTAGAGGTAAAAGTGACTAGGCAATCAGGATAAATAATAAACACATAGCAGCAGTGTATGCGAAAGTGTGTCTGTGTGTGTGACGTCAATATGCATGATTGTGCGTATGTAGTGTGTGTGTGTGTGTCAGTGGAGTATGGGTAGTCTAGTGAGTGTGCATAGAGTCAGTGCAACAACAAAAAAATGAATACAAAAATATATATGATACACACCTGAAAATATTCAATTAAAATCCATTGATTCATTGTAGTCAATACAGTTATTATAGTTGACATGTAGCACAGAATTACTGTAGTTAGACATGGGAATTGTGGCCTCGAGGGACAGAGATGCCTGCTCACTCAAGTGTCTCAGAGAAAGCCCCTGCTGTTCCACTCTTAGGGAATTAGACACACACAAACAATACCTATTGCAAGATTTGAAGCCTTTCTGTCCCGTTTGATAGTGTTCTGTCATTCAATGATTATTGATCCATAAACAGTGCTAATGTACAGAGAGACAAGTAAAACCTGTTTCATTTAAAGGAAAGGACAGAGAACTGAGAAACCAATGGTTATTCCTCCTCTCTCCCTCCTCTCCCACTCTCAGACTGTGTGAAGCTACTGCTGACTTCAGGGGTGTCTGCTGATGTTTCTGATGAAAATGGATTTACGCCTTTACACTTTGCCGCCGCACACGGACACCACAGGTTGGTGTACATTTACATTTTAGTCATTTAGCAGGCACTCTTATCCAGAGCGACTTACAGTTAGTGAGTGCATACCTTTTCATACTGGAGGCTGGTAGGAGGCGGGATAGGAGGACGGGATCATTGTAATGGCTGGAATGGAATAAATGGAACGGTATCAAACATATGGAAACCACATGCTTGACTCCGTTCCATTTATTCCATTTTAGCCATTACAATGAGCCCGTCCTCCTATAACTCCTCCTACCAGCCTCCACTGGAATGTATATTACCAGTGCTACAATAAACCTTTTGAGACAGTGAAACACCATTGTGTGAGTGACTGTCAGCGTGCCGATCGGCTATCCCCACCATTAATACTACTGTGATCAGATATTACAACAATGAACATTAACCAGCTGGCCAGGGCTAACACACACACACACACACACACACACACACACACACACACACACACACACACACACACACACTTACCTTCAGTGGCCAGCTAAACTTCCTCAGAGCAGTATTGTATGTCTGCTCTTACAACACAGAGAAAGGGTGACCGTTTGACAGCACAGAGATGTTACCATAACTTTTAAGTTTCACAGAGTTTCACTACCTCTATGGGGGGTGGTTTCCCGGACAGAGTTGAATTTAAATCAGGACTAGGATAATTCTACTTAAATTAATCCAGATTTTAAAAAATGATACAAAAATGATTTCTAGGCTAGGGTGTCCCAGAGTAAGGTAAGGAATAACCAGTTCATCTTTGAAGCCTAATTAAATTAACGATGTGCACTTGGTGCTGACCTGAGGACGCTTCAGAAACCAGGGATGGGACACTAATACATAAGCATTGTGTGGAATTGGAGCAAGTCACCTAAACCAAACAATGGACGGAGGTAAAAGAAAACGTTCAAAGAATTTCAGTGACTTTGAAAAAACCCTCTTGAAGCGAATTCTGTCAAACCACCCAATTATCGAGAACAAACGGCATGATTCATCAACAGAAAACAAGAAAAAGAACGCCTCGACTACCATTTGTAATGAATTCAACTCAAATGAAAACGTAAACAAAAGGACGTTACAACAACTTCAGGTAAGATACTGTATTTATTAATGGACCACTTTTACAAATTAGAGTCACTTTGAAATTTAGTTTTCTTGTGTAACACAACACAGTGGGGCTTAAATGTATTTGTGTGACAGAAATGTAACACAAACAATATCATGCATAATTACTAATAACATTTCCATATTGTCTTGTCTTTCTAAGGTCCTGTGGAAAACATAATCTACTTAAAGAAGACAAATGCTGTTGCTTGTAGGGAGAGTATCAAGACTGGTAATACCAGAGACAGATGAGCTGGGGGATTTGTTGACCGGAATCATTGATACCCAGCAACCCCTGGAAGGTATCCCCGATGATGACCATTTAGACAGTTCAGATAGGGGACCGTTCCAATCCTCATTTGGTAGGACACATTCACTCAACATGTGCCTCCCCGGATTGCAGGGAATATGTAATGTTGTCAGTCATCTCTTGCACTCCCATAATAAAAAGTATGTAATGAACTCAACTCTTGAAGAAATAATGTTCTCTAATGCAGTAATATAATACTTTTCTAGAGGCAGATGATAACCATAGCTTGGAGGGGATAAGACAGGATGAAGGTCAGCCCGCAACATCTGCAGCAGGCAGGAGGGAAGATTATGTCACTAACCCTGGGCCAGACGACAAAGACAAAGAGGCTGAGCATGCATGAGAAACTGGCCATGGAATTTCATGAGCGCAAACTAATGTATTTAAAATATACTTGCCTTTTTGACCACATCAAGCAGGAACGTGAGAAGGGGAACTATACAGGGATGGTAATGTTAGACTTGCAGAAAGCTTTTGACACTGGACCATGATATTCTCCTGATGAAACTGAAATGCATGGGTCTAAATTATGTAGCAGTGAATTAGTTTAGGTCTTATCTGACCAACAGAACACAAGTGTGCAATGTTGGTGATGCTCTGTCAGAGGCCAAAGAAATATCCTTTGGAGTACCGCAGGGATGGCGAACAAAATGAAATGTTTATATCGTAACTAGATATATATTTTAACATCAAAGTTAAGAAGTGTGAAAAAATTAATGACTAAAATGTAAGAAACTGCTTGTCTCAACCTTGATTCAGTGTCATTTTGATTATGCCTGCTCTGCTTGGTATAGTGGACTATCAAAAAAGCTGAAAAAGAGAATGCAGGTCATGCAAAATAATGTTATCAGGTACAGTGAGGGAAAAAAGTATTTGATCCCCTGCTGATTTTGTACGTTTGCCCACTGACAAAGAAATGATCAGTCTATAATTTTAATGGTAGGTTTATTTGAACAGTGAGAGACAGAATAACAACAACAAAATCCAGAAAAACGCATGTCAAAAATGATAAATTGATTTTCATTTTAATGAGGGAAATAAGTATTTGACCCCTCTGCAAAACATGACGTAGTACTTGGTGGCAAAACCCTTTTTGGCAATCACAGAGGTCAGACATTTCTTGTAGTTGGCCACCAGGTTTGCACACATCTCGGGAGGGATTTTGTCCCACTCCTCTTTGCAGATCTTCTCCAAGTCATTAAGGTTTCGAGGCTGACGTTTGGCAACTCGAACCTTCAGCTCCCTCCACAGATTTTCTATGGGATTAAGGTCTTGAGACTGGCTAGGCCCCTCCAGGACCTTAATGTGCTTCTTCTTGAGCCACTCCTTTGTTGCCTTGGCCGTGTGTTTTGGGTCATTGTCATGCTGGAATACCCATCCACGACCCATTTTCAATGCCCTGGCTGAGGGAAGGAGGTTCTCACCCAAGATTTGATGGTACATGGACCCGTCCATCGTCCCTTTGATGCGGTGAAGTTGTCCTGTCCCCTTAGCAGAAAAACACCCCCAAAGCATAATGTTTCCACCTCCATGTTTGACAGTGGGGATGGTGTTCTTGGGGTCATAGGCAGCATTCCTTCTCCTCCATACACGGCGAGTTGAGTTGATGCCAAAGAGCTTGATTTTAGTTTCATCTGACCACAACACTTTCACCCAGTTCTCCTCTGAATCATTCAGATGTTCATTGGCAAACTTTAGACGGGCCTGTATATGTGCTTTCTTGAGCAGGGGGACCTTGCGGGCACTGCAGGATTTCAGTCCTTCACGGCGTAGTGTGTTACCAATTGTTTTCTTGGTGATCCTCCTGTGTAGTTCTGGGCTGATTCCTCACCGTTCTCATGATCATTGCAACTCCACGAGGTGAGATCTTGCATGGAGCCCCAGGCCGAGGAAGATTGACAGTTATTTTGTGTTTCTTCCATTTGCCATTTCACCTTCTCACCAAGCTGCTTGGCGATGGTCTTGTAGCCCATTCCAGCCTTGTGTAGGTCTACAATCTTGTCCCTGACATCCCTGGAGAGCTCTTTGGTCTTGGCCATGGTGGAGAGTTTGGAATTGATTGATTGATTGCTTCTGTGAACAGGTGTCTTTTATAAAGGTAACAAGCTGAGATTAGGAGCACTCCCTTTAAGAGTGTGCTCCTAATCTCAGCTCGTTACCTGTATAAAAGACACCTGGGAGCCAGAAATCTTTCTGATTGAGAGGGGGTCAAATACTTATTTCCCTCATTAAAATGCAAATCAATTTAACATTTTTTGACATGCGTTTTTCTGGATTTTGTTGTTATTCTGTCTCTCACTGTTCAAATAAACCTACCTTTAAAATTATAGACTGATCATGTCTTTGTCAGTGGGCAAACGTACAAAATCAGCAGGGGATCAAATACTTTTTCCCCCCTCACTGTATATGCTGAATGTCCCCCCTAGAACCCACATGTGGGTACAGGAGTTCTGGGAGGTGGACTTGTTGCCTTTGGAGTCCACAGTGGACCAACTTAAACTCAATCATATGTTTGACTTCATAAAGGATCGTGTCCCGGGATATACAGTGGGGGAAAAAAAGTATTTAGTCAGACACCAATTGTGCAAGTTCTCCCACTTAAAAAGATGAGAGAGGCCTGTAATTTCCATCATAGGTACACGTCAACTATGACAGACAAAATGAGATTTTTTTTTCCTGAAAATCACATTGTAGGATTTTTTATGAATTTATTTGCAAATTATGGTGGAAAATAAGTATTTGGTCAATAACAAAAGTTTCTCAATACTTTGTTATATACCCTTTGTTGGCAATGACACAGGTCAAATGTTTTCTGTAAGTCTTCACAAGGTTTTCACACACTGTTGCTGGTATTTTGGCCCATTCCTCCATGCAGATCTCCTCTAGAGCAGTGATGTTTTGGGGCTGTCGCTGGGCAACACGGACTTTCAACTCCCTGCAAAGATTTAATGGTGTTGAGATCTGGAGACTGGCTAGGCCACTCCAGGACCTTGAAATGCTTCTTACGAAGCCACTCCTTCCTTGCCCGGGCGGTGTGTTTGGGATCATTGTCATGCTGAAAGACCCAGCCACGTTTCATCTTCAATGCCCTTGCTGATGGAAGGAGGTTTTCACTCAAAATCTCACGATACATGGCCCCATTCATTCTTTCCTTTACACGGATCAGTCGTCCTGGTCCCTTTGCAGAAAAACAGCCCCAAAGCATGATGTTTCCACCCCCATGCTTCACAGTAGGTATGGTGTTCTTTGGATGCAACTCAGCATTCTTTGTCCTCCAAACACGACGAGTTGAGTTTTTACCAAAAAGTTATATTTTTGTTTCATCTGACCATATGACATTCTCCCAATCCTCTTCTGGATCATCCAAATGCACTCTAGCAAACTTCAGACGGGCCTGGACATGTACTGGCTTAAGCAGGGGGACACGTCTGGCACTGCAGGATTTGAGTCCCTGGCGGCGTAGTGTGTTACTGATGGTAGGCTTTGTTACTTTGGTCCCAGCTCTCTGCAGGTCATTCACTAGGTCCCCCCGTGTGGTTATGGGATTTTTGCTCACCGTTCTTGTGATCATTTTGACCACACGGGGTGAGATCTTGCGTGGAGCCCCAGATCGAGGGAGATTATCAGTGGTCTTGTATGTCTTCCATTTCCTAATAATTGCTCCCACAGTTGATTTCTTCAAACCAAGCTGCTTACCTATTGCAGATTCAGTCTTCCCAGCCTGGTGCAGGTCTACAATTTTGTTTCTGGTGTCCTTTGACAGCTCTTTGGTCTTGGCCATAGTGGAGTTTGGAGTGTGACTGTTTGATGTTGTGGACAGGTGTCTTTTATACTGATAACAAGTTCAAACAGGTGCCATTAATACAGGTAACGAGTGGAAAATGTAGAAATGGCTTTAAAAAGCTTTTCATTTGGACAAGGTTGTCTAACTAAGAGAACCAATTCCGCTGCCCCGCTGCCCCCTACTGCTGGTCAGGTGTATTTATGTGAATGATAGGTATGATGTGCAATGAATAGATCGTTTTTTAAGGTTGAAATGTGAAATGTATATGGTTGATTTTTAAGGTTAGGGAAAAGTGCAATGAAAAGTGGCACTTTCTAGGATGTCAATATAAATGAATGTATTTATGGTTGTTAGAAATGTTGTCTTCTTTTTATTAATTATATGTGTTATCGTTTTTTTTACCATAGAGGACCACTTTGGAAACAAGTGTTTTAATTAATACTTTTAAGTGATATCCTCTGGGTCCACATTGTTCCTTTTGGTTGTGTATGTCTGTTACCCAAATCAATTCAATTTAAAAGAGGAGCATGATATGACAATGCAAATCCTTCATGTTGAGTTGGTTATGAAGGAGGAGGAGAGAAACAGGAAGCAGCAGCAGTACCAATGTTCTTCTCGAACCAGCACCAGTTCAGGGTCCCGATATTTCCATTTGTGAATATCCATGGGTATTTTCTGCTTCAATCACTTGAGCTATCTGTTGTGAGAAGTGCTGCATAGCAAAAGCCCCTCTGCAGGCTTGTCCATTTCTGTCATTGTCTGCCTCAACCATGGGAACATCTGGGTCATCCTCACCTTCAATGCGAGGATCTGGGCAGCCATGCTGTTTGAGGTTATTGACATCCATCTATAAAGCCAATGACTCCAGGGAAGTTTGCATATTCAAATAACTACTTTGTAGTTGGCTTGGGCAGCAGCATCAGGGAACTTGATGTAATTGTCTTTCACTTCACATATATCATTGCAGACTTTGTGGACTATTCTGCATACAGTCGGTTCACTTATACCACACAAATCTCCTGTTTCACAATGGAATGTTCCAGATGCCAAAAACCTCAAGGTGATCAGTACTTGTAGGGAAGGATGGATGGGCCTTCCCCTGAGAGTCAGATGAAAGCTTTGACTCAAGCAAACAAATGTCAGCTGCATTTGCTTTGTACATACGGAAACGGTCACAGAAATTGATTTAATCAAAATCATTCAGTGGGTTGCTCCTGTCTATAACCACCCTTCTGTCTGCCCTTGGTGGTGCTCTTTGGTTGTAATCCATTTTCCTCCATTGCCACGGTCAACCTTGGGGTCAACATCCATTAATCTGAAGTTAAACATGCCTCTGGCCAGGTTTAATTTAAGCCTTCACTTAGATCTAGATTAACTCAAATCGTCCTTCTGTAAATCAGATTTTTTAAATCTAGACTAGGGAAAGTCTGTGACTATTTAAAACGATGTCTGAGAAGTGCCATTTCAGTTAGTCCAGTTTAAAAATGCAATTTAGTCTAGGATTAGGCTTAATCTGTGTCCACGAAACCGCCCTTATGTGTGTAACCTGACCTCTTCTCGTGTGTATGTCCCATGTCCAGGTGTGTGGAGGCCCTGGTGTCTGGTGGGGCTGATGTGGATCACAGGGCTGTGGGTGGACAGACCCCTCTGTTCGTGGCCAGCGGTGCTGGCAGGCTGGACTGTACCAGAGCCCTGCTCAACGCCGGGGCAGACCGCTCACGATCCACCACCGTAAGTCTCCAACTGCCCCCTTTGTCCCATAATGTCCCCAACTGGTCCCAGATGTCCTCAACCGTGCCCTATTGTCCTCTGCTGTCCTACAGTTCCCCTAGTTTCAGATGGTCCTCAACTGTCCCTTATTGTCAAACTCAGGACTGAGATCATTATACATTTTTGCGCAGTGAATCAAGTTCACAGAAAGCTATTGGGTTTTAATGTCTGATAGGCGAGTCGTGGCATGCAGTCAGTCCCTAGAATATATACGCTTCAAAACCCCAAGGGAATTCACTTTTTACATTTGCATCACAACACAAGGAGCTTCACAACATGGCATAGGACCAGAAAGCAAGTGATCAGAACCTTTTTAGTTTTTTTTTATCAAGTCTGTGGTCATGGTTCAAAGCATTTCACTTATAGGTTTCCTGTATCTCTATAGCAACCATATGGGATATGACTAATTACTCCCGATATTGTTGTTGCCAATTATTCACAAATGTGTTTTGCTTAGTTCTGTATTTAGACAGCTATGTCTAAATGTCTTGGTGACTCCACTCTGTGAATAGCCACCACGCTGGCCCTAGGGCAACTGCATACATATGCAGCTCCACTGGGCTATTTTTGTCAACATCACATTTACAGAAATCATATTAACCAATATTTCACGGAACGCATTGCCAATTTTGTGTGTATTTTGAATTGGAACAGCTTGGAGTATGCAGGTGGCTTATGTCTTTGTGTGTGCGTGTGCGTGTGCGTGTGCGTGTGTGTGTGTGTGTGTGTGTGTGTGTGTGATCGTGATCCACAGGACAGCTGCACAGCTCTCCACGCAGCGGTTAGCTCGGGACACGTGGACACTCTGCGGCTTCTCCTCTGCCACCCTCCCCCTGATCACACACACCATGACCCTAACCCTGACCACAACCATAGCCCTGGTCCTGCCATGGTCCCGATCCTATCCAGCACCTTGCTGAACCAGGCAAACTGTGAGGGCTGGACCGCTGCACACATCGCTGCTGCCAGGGGCTTCAAGGTACTTGGACATGACTGCTGTACTGTAAGCCCGCAGCAATGTAGACATACTGTATGTATGCACGTAGACACACTGACCATCTGTTTCAATTTGCTAATTGGAGCCAAACTAAAATGCACATGCTTGCACATAAACACACACAAACACATATAGTACCTGTGCAGAATGGCCATTTTGAGCCTGTAATCGAACCCACAATTGCCGATGCTCCAGATACTCAACTAGTCTCAAGAAGGCCAGTTTTATTGCTTCTTTAATCAGCACAACAGTTTTCAGCTGTGCTAACATAATTGCAAAAAGGTTTTCTAATGATCAATTAGCCTTTTAAAATGATAAACCATTGGAACACAGGACTGATGGTTGCTGATAATGGGCCTCTGTACGCCTATGTAGATATTCCATTAAAAATCAGCCATTTCCAGCTACAATAGCCATTTACAACATTAACAATGTCTACACTGTATTTCTGATCAAGTTGATATTATTTTAATGGACAAAAAAATTGCTTTTCTTTCGACAAGGACATTTCTAAGTGAACCCAAACTTTTGAACGGTAGTGTGTACCGTATTTTCCGCACTATAAGGCGCACCGGATTATAAGGCGCACCTTCAATGAATGGCCTATTTTAGAACTGTTTTCATATATAGGGCGCACCGGATTATAAGGCGCATAGAATAGAAGATACTGCAGTCAAACGTTTGACTGGGGTTGCGTTATGCATCCACTAGATGGAGCTGTGCTAAAGGGAATGTCAACAAAACAGTCAGATAAAGTCAAACTTTATTAAGCGTTCTGACAACTCCGTTCACTCCCATGGTAACGTTGTTCAAACGTTAATGTGCATATTAACAATATCTCCCAGCCTTGCTCACTCTTCTCCCAAACGTGGAGGGGAACTTTTCCCTGATTCAGTAAACACGTAGTAAATGAAACAGTCTGATACCACTAAATCAAACATTAGTGCATAACTCAACATTGTTCAGTTACGTATAACACGTAAAGCTCACTTTTTCAGTTCATTCCCCGTCCATGTTGAATTCTCTCGCTGCTGCTCTATTCCCATATTCTACTGCGTGACCGACAGCCTTGAGCTTGAACTCTGCGTCGTAAGTGTGTCTCTTGAAAGGTGCCATTTTGGGGTCTTTATACACACAAGTGGTGTGGGACTGTGAGTAAGCACAGTACCGGTGTTTACTGACTACGGTAGCCGTAATGCTGCAAGCGGTGCGGCTTTGTAGTTTACCAGTCGTACTGAAACATTTCATTATTAAATTGTTTTTATTGGTTTTTCATACTGAAACATTTTGACAGAGCGCCTTGAGTGCCGTGTACAACCAGTATGGATCAACCAATTAACCAATTGATCCATATATAAGGCGCTCCGGATTATAAGGCGCACTGTCGTTTTTTGAGAAAATTAAAGGCTTTTAAGTGCGCCTTATAGTGCAGAAAATACGGTATATATATACAGTGAGGGGAAAAAAAGTATTTGATCCCCTGCTGATTTTGTACGTTTGCCCACTGACAAAGAAATGATCAGTCTATAATTTTAATGGTAGGTTTATTTGAACAGTGAGAGACAGAATAACAACAAAATAATCCAGAAAAACGCATGTCAAAAATGTTATAAATTGATTTGCATTTTAATGAGGGAAATAAGTATTTGACCCCTCTGCAAAACATGACTTAGTACTTGGTGGCAAAACCCATGTTGGCAATCACAGAGGTCAGACGTTTCTTGTAGTTGGCCAACAGGTTTGCACACATCTCAGGAGCGATTTTGTTCCACTCCTCTTTGCAGATCTTCTCCAAGTCATTAAGGTTTCGAGGCTGACGTTTGACAACTCGAACCTTCAGCTCCCTCCACAGATTTTCTATGGGATTAAGGTCTGGAGACTGGCTAGGCCACTCCAGGACCTTAATGTGCTTCTTCTTGAGCCACTCCTTTGTTGCCTTGGCCGTGTGTTTTGGGTCATTGTCATGCTGGAATACCCATCCACGACCCATTTTCAATGCCCTGGCTGAGGGAAGGAGGTTCTCACCCAAGATTTGACAGTACATGGCCCCGTCCATCGTCCCTTTGATGCAGTGAAGTTGTCCTATCCCCTTAGCAGAAAAACACCCCCAAAGCATAATGTTTCCACCTCCATGTTTGACAGTGGGGGTGGTGTTCTTGGGGTCATAGGCAGCATTCCTCCTCCTCCAAACACGGCGAGCTGAGTTGATGCCAAAGAGCTCGATTTTGGTCTCATCTGACCACAACACTTTCACACAGTTCTCCTCTGAATCATTCAGATGTTCATTGGCAAACTTCAGACGGGCCTGTATATGTGCTTTCTTGAGCAGGGGGACCTTGCGGGCGCTGCAAGATTTCAGTCCTTCACGGCGTAGTGTGTTACCAATTGTTTGCCTTGAGATCATTGACAAGATCCTCCCGTGTAGTTCAGGGCTGATTCCTCACCGTTCTCATGATCATTGCAACTCCACGAGGTGAGATTTGCATGGAGCCTCAGGCCGAGGAAGATTGACAGTTATTTTGTGTTTCTTCCATTTGCGAATTATCGCACCAACTGTTGTCACCTTCTCACCAAGCTGCTTGGCGATGGTCTTGTAGCCCATTCCAGGCTTGTGTCGGTCTACAATCTTGTCCCTGACATCCTTGGAGAGCTCTTTGGTCTTGGCCATGGTGGAGAGTTTGGAATCTGATTGATTGATTGCTTCTGTGGACAGGTGTCTTTTATACAGGTAACAAGCTGAGATTAGGAGCACTCCCTTTAAGAGTGTGCTCCTAATCTCAGCTCGTTACCTGTATAAAAGACACCTGGGAGCCAGAAATCTTTCTGATTGAGAGGGGGTCAAATACTTATTTCCCTCATTAAAATGCAAATAAATTTATAACATTTTTGACATGTGTTTTTCTGGATTTTTTTGTTGTTATTCTGTCTCTCATTGTTCAAATAAACCTACAATTAAAATGATAGACTGATCATTTCTTTGTCAGTGGGCAAACATACAAAATCAGCAGGGGATCAAATACCTTTTTCCCTCACTGTATATATTATATTTTTTTAACGACCCATGGTAACATTTTTCAACCATATATGGCCTATTTGTGTGTTTTTAATTACGTTGATAGAATAATAATGTTAGAAAATAACTCATTTGTAAATACACTTGAACATAAATTAATACATTTGCTTGAAATTACCCTCTATCCAACCAGCATCTTTTTAAAGGTACCGCCCCCTCACAATCCCCCCTAAGCTTCTGTAGTTTTCACCATGGATTTCATGGTTGTTTTTGTCAAATCCTCTTGCATATTCAACATTAGGTGGAGACTATGTTTAAGAAAATGATACCCCCCTGTTTTATGATCTAAACAGGCTTCTCTAGAATTGACCAATGCACAAATCGTTTACATATGCTCAAGATCAAAACCCCTATTTATGAGATTTGGCCGTTCCTTTTCGGGACTGACATGTTTGAGTGGTCATAACAGATATTTGTGCGAATGTAAAATCAATGGGAAAATGAGCTTTGTACAAGCAAGAATTGGAATATGCATTGGTTTTCTTATTAAATATGAATCGATCCAGCATCACTTGTGACAAGTGAATTTACACCCCACAAAAACAGGGAGATAAATGCTAGGAAGAGTGGAGTCCTGAGGTGGGCGGGGCATGCACGTTGCTACACACAGACACGTACAGTGCCTTCGGAATGTATTCAAACCCCTTGACTTTTTCCACATTTTGTTACGTTACAGCCTTATTCTAAAATTGATGAAATCAATTTTTTTCGCATCAATCTACACACAACACCCCATAATGACAAAGCAAAAACAGGTTTTTAGAAATATTTGCAAATGTATTAAAAATAAAAAACTGAAATATCACATTTACATAAGTATTCAGACCCTTTACTCAGTACTTTGTGGATGCACCTTTGGCAGCAATTACAGCATCAAGTCTTCTTGGGTATGACGCTACAAGCTTGGCACACCTGTATTTGGGGAGTTTCTCCCATTTGTTCTCTGCAGATCCTCTCATGCTCTGTCAGGTTGGATGGGGAGTGTTGCTGCACAGCTATTTTCAGGTCTCTCCAGAGATGTTAGATCGGATTCAAGTCCGGGCTCTGACTGGGCCACTCACTGACATTCAGAGACTTGTCCCGAAGCCACTCCTGCGTTGTCTTGGCTGTGTGCTTAGGGTCGTTGTCCTGTTAGGTGAACCTTCGCCCCAGTCTGAGGTCCTGAGCGCTCTGTTCATCTTTGCCTCGATCCTGACTAGTCTCCCAGTCCCTGCCGCCTGAAAAACATCCCCACAGATGCTGCCACCACCATGATTTACCGTAGGGATGGTGCCAGGTTTCCTCCAGATATGATACTTGGCATTCAGGCCAAAGAGTTCAATCTTGGTTTCATCAGACCAGAGAATCTTGTTTCTCATGGTCTGAGAGTCTTTAGGTGCCTTTTTGCAAACTCCAAGCGGGCTGTCATGTGCCTTTTACTGAGGAATGGCTTCCGTCTGGCCACTCTACAATAAAGGCCTGAGTGCTGTAGGGATGGTTGTCCTTCTAGAAGGTTCTCCCATCTCCACAGAGGAACTCTAGAACTCTGTCAGAGTGACCTTTGGGTTCTTGGTCACCTCCCTGGCCAAGGCCCTTCTCCGCCGATTGCTCAGTTTGGCTTGGCGGCCAGCTTTAGGAAGAGTCTTGGTGGTTCCAAACTTCTTCCATTTAAGAATGATGGAGGCCACTGTGTTCTTGGGGATCTTCAATGCTGCAGAAATGTTTTGGTACCCTTCCCCAGACCTGTGCCTCGACACAATCCTGTCTCGGAGCTCTACGCACAATTTCTTCGACCTCATGGCTTGGTTTTTGCTCTGACATGCACTGTCAACTGTGGGACCTTTATAGATTGGTGTGTGCCTTTCCAAATCATGTCCAATCAACTGAATTTACCAAAGGTGGACTCCAATCAAGTTGTAGAAACATCTCAAGGATAATCAATGGAAACAGGATGCACCTGAGCTCAATTTCAAGTCTCATAGCAAAAGGTCTGAATACTTATGTAAATATGGTATATCTGTTTTAATTTTTTTATAAATCAGCAAACATTTCTAAAAAACTGTTTTCACTTTGTCATTATGGGGTATTGTTTGTAGATTGCTAAGGATTTCTATTTATTTAATCCATTTTAGAATAACGTAACAATGTGGAAAAAGTCAAGGGGTCTGAATACTTTCCGAAGGCACTGTACACACACATTCTGTACACAACCTCTCAGACCCTTTGGTGTGTGTGTGTGTGTGTGTGTGTGTGTGTGTGTGTGTTGTCAGGACTGCCTGGAGGTGTTGTGTAACCACAGTGACCAGGACATAGAGAGGAGGGACAAGTGGAACCGCACCATCCATGACGTGGCCACCGACGACTGCAAAGACCTACTAGAGAACCTATGTGAGTACCAGTACCAGGGTGTGTGCATGCTTGTGTGCTTGTTTTATTTTGTTCCAGCCCAGCACTTGATGGAACTGTAGCTCTCCATCGCTCTTTTCAGTCATATGGAAATATGTAATTGGCTTCCATTCAAACATTACAATAATACTACACCGAACAAAAAAATCTACTCAACATGCAACAATTTCAAAGATTTTACTGAGTTACAGTTCATACAAGGAAATCAGTCAATTGAAATAAATTCATTATTTCAATCTATGGATTTCACATGACTGGGAATACAGATATTCATCTGTTGGTCACAGATACCTTAAAAAGGTAGGGGCGTGGATCAGAAAACCAGTCAGTATCTGGTGTGACCACCATTTGCCTCATGCAGTGCGGCACATCTCCTTCGCATACAGTTGATCAGGTTGTTGATTGTGGCCTGTGGAATTTTCAATGGCTGTGCGATGTTGCTGGATATTGGCGGGAACTGTAACACGCTGTCGTACACGTCGATTCAAAACATCCCAAACATGCTCAGTGGGTGACATGTCTGAGTATGCAGGCCATGGAAGAACTGGGACATTTTCAGATTCCAGGAATTGTGTACTGATCCTTGCGACATGGGGCCGTGCGTTATCATGCTGAAACATGAGGTGGTGGAGGCGGATGAATGGCACGACAATGGGCCTCAGGATCTCGTCACGGTATCTCTGTGCATTTAAATTGCCATTGATAAAATGCAATTGTGTTCATTGTCCATAAATTATGCTTGCCCGTACCATAACCCCAAAGCCACCATGGGGCACTCTATTCACAACGTTGACATCAGCGAACCGCTCGCCCACACGACGCCATATGCCCGGTACAGTTGAAACCAGGATTCATCCGTGAAGAGCACACTTCTTCAGCATGCCGGTGGCCATCGAAGGTGAGCATTTGTCCACTGAAGTTGATTACGACGCCGAACTGCAGTTAGGTGAAGACCCTGGTGAGGACGACGAGCACGCAGATGAGATTCCCTGAGACGGTTTCTGACAGTTTGTGCAGAAATTCTTTGGTTGTGCAAACCCACAGTTTCATCAGCTGTCCGGGTGGCTGGTCTCAGACGATCCTGCAGGTGAAGAAGCCAGATGTGGAGGTTCTGGGCTGGCGTGGTTACACGTGGTCTGTGGTTGTGAGGCCGGTTGGACTTACTGCCAAATTCTCTAAAATGACGTTGGAGGCGGCTTATGGAGAGAAATGAACATTCAATTCTCTGGCAACAACTCTGGTGGACATTCCTGCAATCAGCATGCCAATTGCACGCTCCCTCAAAATTTGAGACATCTGTTGTATTGTGTTGTGTGACACAACTGCACATTTTACAGTGGCCTTTTATTGTCCACAGTACAAGGTACACCTGTGTAATGATCATGCTGTTTAATCAACCTTTTGATATGCCACTCCTGTCAGGTGGATGGACTATCTTGGCAAAGGAGAAATGCTCACAAACAGGGATGTATACAAATTTGTGGGTGTGGAGAATTTCTGGGATCTTTTGTTTCAGCTCATGAAACATGGGACCAACACTTTACATGTTGCGTTTTTCTATTTTTGTTCAGTGTAAAACGAATTCTCTCTCTCTGCCTCCCCTCGCTCTGTTTTATTTTCCTTTTATGCCCCACTCTCTCCCTCCCTCTCTCAGACTCCTACAGGGTGTTAGTTTGTGTCCAGTCCAGCGGCTCAGGAGAGCCCATGTGTCCAGTGGAGGTTTTGAAGGATGGTGTGTGTGTAAGCGTGCTGGGGGGTGTGTGTATTCACCGGGCTACACGCTGGGCCGAGCTGAACCACGCCCTGGGCCAAGCCTTGACCTCTCACCTCCAGCTGCTCTGTGGCAACACCAACACACACACACACACACACCAACACACAAACCAGCCCACCAGAGATGACACACTCCAACACACACACCTGGGACTGACCCCTGCTAGCATGGCCTCCGTCCTCATAGGTAAGGAGCTGTAATGATTGTTGTTCAATTGATTCACTAGTTATTTTATTATAAATACCAATATGACTTTAACTCCTTGACATTGCCTTAGCTAGTGGTATGTTTACCAAAGTTTAGCCTAGCCCGCTGTCTCTAAAGGATATCCCAAACAGAGAGCATGCACCTGGTCGCTGTTGCAGGCAGTGAGCAGGGCCTTGTCTGTTATTTTAGCCGTATCTCCCAACCAGAGCCAAGTTTACAGAGGTGTTGCGGTCTATTTTGTGCGACAGTGCAACACGTTCCAAACAGCTGCTACCCCTGAACGCCTCCCGACCACCCCTGGGTTCAAGTTTGAATTTCCCTTCGTAAGCATGAGGGAATGGATGGCACCCAATAGGAGACCAACCAACCAACGACTCCCTGCTGAACTGAATCGCTTATATGAATATGAATCTATCCTATTCTCAACAATGAATTGCTATTACAGTATGAGTTAATTCCAGGGGATTCACTATGGAAAGTATGATTCTTAGACAAATAGTTTTCATTTGATTCGCTGCAGGTGAATCACCAGCCCTCTATATCTCCAATAGCAGATGAATAGCAGGCTGTAAAATTATGAATAACTGTCAATAGAGTTTAGTTATGCTTTATTCACATTTACAGCTTAAAAGCTGAATTGCAGTCACTGTTGGATGAATAGTTTTGGAATTAATTGACTCCTTGATAGATTATTATTGATATCAGGGCTCGTCCAGGCACCTGGCTTTGCAGCTGGTTTAGCAAAGGTTACACATACACACACAGTCACACACACACACACACAGAAGCATGCACGCACACTCTCTCTCCCTCTCTCTATTTCTGTATCACACATGCACGCACACATTGCAGCTCTGTTGGATGGCACGCATCCCTGGGTCCTGTCCAAAGGTGTGATCGGGCCAAGCTAGAGAGGGCTGGGACATGAGCCTATTTGATTTTAGCCCGATCACACCGCACCACATTCACACAGAGGATGCCCAAATTGAACACATACACTCTCCAAGGAGGTAATTTCCCGGTCGCATTGTTAGGACAAACTCCCTAACGTGTGTCCTGTCTACTATCAATGACTAATCTCGGCATGAAGAACCAAATCAACTATAAAAATTGTAACATGTTAATGTTAAGTCTGTCACAAGAGACTAATGAATGATTGGCTTGGTACATAGAGTCTGAACCAACTGAGTGAAGTCTAGCCTTGCCAGGGGAAAGATCATCCAGTGTGTCTGTCTGAGCTCAGACAAAGGAGAGGAGAATGGTTCTGTCCTCTGTTTAACACATCAAGGTGAAACCATCGGTGGGAATTATGCCGACGCAACCGCTTTTCCAAAACTCTAGGACGAGAGAGCGAGGGAATCCGCGGTGAAGGGAGGGATGAAAGAGTGGAGACTGGGGATGCATTATGGATGAGATGTAGAAAGATAGAGGAGGAGGTGAGAGGGAGGGGGAGAATTTGGCATATTTAGTGAAATGTCTGGTTTCTGTGTGAAGATCAGCACCCTCAATGGGTTTTGGGTTCGTCTTTCTCTTCACCTCTGAGGGAGTGTGTGCATGGGTGGGTGCAATCACTGCATTTGTGGGCGCACTCCATGTGTGTGCTTACAGAACCTTTTAACGTGTCAACTGTTTAAAAGTGTTTGTGTAGTGTTGACGTAAAGTTGTCTAGACATGGCTACAGTATGTGTAGTTTTTAGGTTATGTTTGTATGCAAATGTGTGTGCGTTTGAGTATCAAATCAAATGTTATTTGTCACATACTCGTGTTCAGCAGATGTTTTTAGCGGGTGTAGCGAATTGCTTGTGCTTCTAGCTCCAACAGTGCAGTAATATCTAACAAGTAATATCTAACAATTTCACAACATATACCCAAAACACACAAAACTAGTAAGGAATGGGATTTAAGAATATATACATATATGGACAAGCAATGACAGAGCGGCATGGACTAAGATACAGTAGAATATTATAGAATAGAATACAGTATATACATATGAGATAAGTAGTGCAAGATATGTAAACATTATTAAAATGACTAGTGTTCCATTTCTTAAAGTGGCCAGTGATTTCAATAGGCAGCAGCAGCCTCTAATGTGCTAGTGATGGCTATTTAACAGTCTGATGGCCTTGAGATAGCTGTTTTTCATTCTCTCGGTCCCAGCTTTGATGCACCTGTACTGACCTCGCCTTCTGGATGATAGCGGGGTGAACAGGCAGTGGCTCGGGTGGTTGATGTCCTTGATGATCTTTTTGGCCTTCCTGTGACATCGGGTGCTGTATGTGTCTTGGAGGGTGGGTAGTTTGCCCCCGGTAATGCGTTCGGCAGACCACACCACCCTCTGGAGAGCCCTGCGGTTGTGGGCGGTACAGTTGCCGTACCAAGTGGTGATACAGCCCGACAGGATGCTCTCAATTGTGCATCTGTAAAAGTTTGTGAGGGTTTTAGGTGCTAAGCCGAATTTCTTCAGCCACTCCCAGAGCCCTCACCTCCTCCCTGTAGGCGGTCTCGTCATTGTTGGTAATCAAGCCTACTACTATTGTGTCGTCTGCAAACTTGATGATTGAGTTGGAGGCGTGCTTGGCCACGCAGTCATAGGTGAACAGGGAGTACAGGAGGGGGCTGAGCACGCACCCTTGTGGTGCCCCAGTGTTGAGGATCAGTGACGTGGAGATGTTGTTTCCTACCTTCACCACCTGGGGGCGGCCCGTCAGGAAGTCTAGGACCCAGTTGCACAGGGCGGGGTTCAGACCCAGGGCCTCGAGCTTAATGATGAGCTTGGAGGGTACTATGGTGTTGAATGCTGAGCTATAGTCAATGAACAGCAATCTTACATAGGTATTCCTCTTGTCCAGATGGGATAGGGAAGTGTGCAGTGTGATGGCGATTGCATCGTCTGTGGATCTATTGGGGCGGTAAGCAAATTGAAGTGGGTCTAGGGTGACAGGTAAGGTAGAGGTGATATGATCTTTGACTAGTCTCATGATGACAGAGGTGAGTGCTACAGGGCGATAGTCATTTAGTTCAGTTACCTTTGCTTTCTTGGGTACAGGAACAATGTTGGCCATCTTGAAGCATGTGGGAACAGCTGACTGGGAAAGGGAGAGATTTGAATATGTCCATAAACACACCAGCCAGCTGGTCTGCGCATGCTCTGAGGACACGGCTAAGGATGCCGTCTGGGCCGGCAGCCTTGCGGGGGTTAACATGCTTAAATGTCTTAATCACGTCGGCCATGGAGAAGGAGAGGCCACAGTCCTTGGTAGTGGGCCTCGTCAGTGGCACTGTGTTATCCTCAAAGTGGGCGAAGAAGGTGTTTAGCTTGTCTGGAAGCGAGACGTCGGTGTCGGCGACGTGGCTGGTTTTCTTTTTGTAGTCCGTGATTGTCTGTAGACCCTGCCACATACATCTCGTGTCTGAGCCGTTGAATTGCGACTCCACTTTGTCTATACTGATGTTTTGTCAGTTTAATTGCCTGTATTGTGTGTGTATTTTATACAGTGTGTATTGCTGTTTGTTAACATGTCTTGTCTTGTTGTTGTAGGTGACACGGTGTGGTTGCCAGGTCAGGAGCTGTCTCTGTCTCCATGGGACCTGGTCAGGAAGCCTCTCAGCCAGCACATCACCATCAGACTCAAAGGTACCAATCTGGCAACCCTGATCATCTTGGAATACAACTCTCCTCTTTTCTTCCCTCTTCTCTTTTTTCTTCTCTTCTCTTAACTTCTCTCCTCTGCTGTGTGTGTGTGTGTGTGTGTGTGTGTGTGTGTGTGTGTGTGCGCGCGCGCACGCGCGCCTGTCTCTATCGAGCCCCTGTCCACCCACTGCCAGAGTATTGGAGCTTTGCCAGGGAATCTTTAGCTAGCTTTTTCTCTTTCTGCTGTGTTATATAGACGGGTTTAGCAACAAAACTGACGCGTGCGCAACTATGGGGCAAAACAGACAGGGTTGGCTTAAATTGTAAACTATATTTCGTGTCCATCAATACATTTGCACAATGAGCACTTGTTGTCTCTCAAATACAGTGAGGGAAAAAAGTATTTGATCCCCTGTTGATTTTGTACGTTTGCCCACTGACAAAGAAATGATCAGTCTATAATTTTAATGGTAGGTTTATTTGAACAGTGAGAGACAGAATAACAACAAAAAAATCCAGAAAAACGCATGTCAAAAATGTTATAAATTGATTTGCCTTTTAATGAGGGAAATAAGTACTTGACCCCCTCTCAATCAGAAAGATTTCTGGCTCCCAGGTGTCTTTTATACAGGTAACGAGCTGAGATTAGGAGCACACTCTTAAAGGGAGTGCTCCTAATCTCAGTTTGTTACCTGTATAAAAGACACCTGACCACAGAAGCAATCAATCAATCAGATTCCAAACTCTCCACCATGGCCAAGACCAAAGAGCTCTCCAAGGATGTCAGGGACAAGATTGTAGACCTACACAAGCCTGGAATGGGCTACAAGGTCATCGCCAAGCAGCTTGGTGAGAAGGTGACAACAGTTGGTGCGATTATTCGCAAATGGAAGAAACACAAAATAACTGTCAATCTCCCTCGGCCTGGGGCTCCATGCAAGATCTCACCTCGTGGAGTTGCAATGATCATGAGAACAGTGAGGAATCAGCCCAGAACTACACAGAAGGATCTTGTCAATGATCTCAAGGCAGCTGGGACCATAGTCACCAAGAAAACAATTGGTAACACACTACGCCGTGAAGGACTGAAATCCTGCAGTGCCCGCAAGGCCCCCCTGCTCAAGAAAGAACATATACAGGGCCGTCTGAAGTTTGCCAATGAACATCTGAATGATTCAGAAGAGAACTGGGTTAAAGTGTTGTGGTCAGATGAGACCAACTCGCCGTGTTTGGAGGAGGAGGAATGCTGCCTATGACCCCAAGAACACCATCCCCACCGTCAAACATGGAGGTGGAAACATTATGCTTTGGGGGTGTTTTTCTGCTAAGGGGACAGGACAACTTCACCGCATCAAAGGGACGATGGACGGGACCATGTACCGTCAAATCTTGGGTGAGAACCTCCTTCCCTCAGCCAGGGCATTGAAAATGGGTCGTGGATGGGTATTCCAGCATGACAATGGCCCAAAACACACGGCCAAGGCAACAAAGGAGTGGCTCAAGAAGAAGCACATTAAGGTCCTGGAGTGGACTAGCCAGTCTCCAGACCTTAATCCCATAGAAAATCTGTGGAGGGAGCTGAAGGTTCGAGTTGCCAAACGTCAGCCTCGAAACCTTAATGACTTGGAGAAGATCTGCAAAGAGGAGTGGGACAAAATCCCTCCTGAGATGTGTGCAAACCTGGTGGCAAACTACAAGAAACGTCTGACCTCTGTGATTGCCAACAAGGGTTTTGCCACCAAGTACCAAGTCATGTTTTGCAGAGGGGTCAAATACTTATTTCCCTCATTAAAATGCAAATCAATTTATAACATTTTTGACATGCGTTTTTCTGGATTTTTTTGTTTGTTATTCTGTCTCTCACTGTTCAAATACACCTAACATTAAAATTATAGACTGATCATGTCTTTGTTAGTGGGCAAACGTACAAAATCAGCAGGGGATCAAATACTTTTTTCCCTCAGTGTACATCATTACAGTTGTCGGTTAGCTAGCTAGCAAATTTTTGCCGTATTAGCATAGACGTGACATCAGTCAAACACCTGAAAACAAGACATGGAATCAAGAACAAGATAAAACTAGCTGAAACGAGCCACCTACGATTTCCCACATGGCAGATTCTAGTCATTGTTGCTAGCCATCTGGCCATCCAGAATCACAACACCACCTTCTGCCCTTTTTGAAGCGCGCGCATCGTTTTTGTGACATTGTCAGCTAAGCCGTCTATTGGCTGGCTCATTTTCAGTCTGCTTAGAACAGTGTGTTTTGACAGCACAGGGAAGATTCCTCTAGTTTTGACACTGAAACAGTGTATCTGATGCTCAAAGCACTGTTAAACTCTCAGGAGGATATTCAAGTGTGTGTGTCTGTCTTCCTGCATATGTCTATGCGTCTGTGTGTGTGTTATGACTGCTCATTTCCATGTGGGTTGTGTATTTCTTGACAGGTCTGTCAGAGTCGTGTCTGGATGAGCTGGCCCTGGAATCTCTTATCCCCCTTCAGCTGCTGCAGAACTACGTCCGCCTGGTACACACACACACACACACACACACACACGGAAAAAGGAGAATAATAATGGATTCCCAAAATAGGTCACTTGGATTCTGGGTCTAGTATTTTTATGCATGTTAGTATGCCCTCTACTGGCCACATGTATACTTGCCACATTCCTTTAGCATGAGAATGTGGTGACTGTGAGTTCCTGTGTCCCCCATTTCTGCCTAAGTGTGTCTGAAACTGCTTGCTTATAAAGGAAAGGATAGAAAGGGAGCTTAGTGTGCCACTTTGTTATATAGTCTTCAACTCATCCCTCTTCAGGTGGAACAGTACCGTAACATTATCTTCCACGGGCTGGAGGGGAGCTGTCAGGAGTACCTAGCCAATCAGATCTCCCGCTGCATCAAGACCAAGCAGGAAGTGGTGGGTGTGGCCTGTGACATCATCAGGGTGGAGGTGGACAGGAGTCTGACTAAACAACAGCTGTTGGACACCTTCATAACTTGTGGTAAATACATATAAATCACATTTCACACTTATTGTATTGTTCTGTATTCTATGTGTTATTATAGAAATATAGATATACTTGCCTTGTTTCTGTTCAGGGAGCTTGGATTGTGTGTTGTGGCCTGTCTCTTTTTTTGTTTCATTGTCCCCCTCCCTCTCTCACTGTATTTGTGTGTGTATTTTTTGTATTTACAGGGCTCATTTTAAAAAGAGACCTTGGTTTCAACATGACTCCCTGTCAAAATGAAGGTTAAGTTAAATACAAAATCAAATTCTCCCTCATCTCCCTGCAGGGTTCCTGGTCCCAGTAGGTGGTGTGTCTGTGTGTAGTGGTAGTAGTAGTGTGGGCCGGTTGGTGGTGTTGGAGGGACTAGAGAAGGCCAACTCTCTGACTGAGCTGCTGGGAGACCTGTGTGAAGGCCTGGAGAACCGTGGCAAGGCCTACCTGCTCCACGGTGAGGCCTACTGGACATAGACTGGCTGACTAAATGAATGAGAGGATATGGTGTGAGGGATAGAGTGAGTGAACCAGCGAGTGTGTGACTGAGTGAGCAATTGAATGAGAGGATGAACTGACAAGTGAGGGAGTGAAAGAATGAATGGATTAATAAAGGAATGAATAGATGACAGAATGAACAGGTGTCTAACTACACTCTCCCCCCATCATCACCCACCCAACAGGCCAGATGGGCCCGCACCACTTTCAGGAGGGAGGCTTTCTGATTGGCACGCTGTCCAAGTCCCGCCTCAAAGGCTCGGAGCTCCGCCTCCAACAGCACTTCCGCTGGGTGACGCTGCGCTGGGACTCGGAGCCGTTGCACGGCCTTCTGGGAAGGCACCTCTGCAGGAAGCTGCTCCACAAGGTCAGTTACAGGAACACACTGCTCCCTTAGGAACAGATCTAGAATCATTGTATCCGTCCGTACCTTAGATCAATGCTTGTGGGTGACTTCATCCTACTCCGCAAGTGTGGGCCAGCCATCTTGGCTTTCTCGGATAAGATTGGAAATACAGTGATGTTCTGGAAAGCTGGGCGTTCCCTTAACTTTCTCTCTCCAGACGCAGGCTGGTGGCAGTGGTCAGTCTCCTGAGGGCCTGCTGGAGAGGACGGTGTGCTGGGTGAGCTGTGTGGCAGCAGCTGAATGCCTGTCTGTCCCGCCACGAGGCCCTGCTAGGACCCCAGCTCTTCCTCTCCTGCCCCGTGGTGCCACACAACACACAGGCCATCGTCAAGTATGCACGTGTGTGTGTATGGGGGGTGTCTGTGTGCAAACTCATGTTACAAACTTAAGTTAGACTATGCATGACTGTGAGTGTTTCTGGAGCAAACTAAGGTGATCGGGGAGCGGCAATATTCTGTGTGTTGTTTCTGTATTTCTTTATCTGTGTGTTCCTCCAGGTGGCTGGCCCGGCTGTGGAACATGGTGGTGGTCCCTCGCGTGGAAGAGTCCATCGTCACCCGGGTGACGGTCAAGCGCTCCTCCGGCCAGCAGGCATCGTCTAGCAATCTGCGCCTGAGCTCGGGCCAGCAGGCGGTGGTCAAGGCTGCCCTCAGCATCCTGTTAAACAAGGCTGTCCTGCAGGGATGCCCACTGCCACGACACGGTGGGTACACACTACACTGTTGCCTGACAACTCACCCTGAATTTAATTCCGCTGCACTATGGATCGCTACATACATTCGGTTTGAAACTGCCATCCTAGCAGTCGTTTGTGTGACTTCAAAATGAGGGCTGTTGTACAAAACAAATTCATCAGCGTTTGGATCATCTAACAAATCTAACCAATCAGTGTATCAAAGTTGATAACATCATCATGTAGGCCGGCTCTGGCCCAACCCCATCGGTTTCTGGGGCCAATCAGAACGGTCAGAATGTGTTGGCATTCTAGAAATCGTCGGGGAGGGAGGAAGGGGAGGAAGGGGAGGAAACGTCAGTTGGCCGGAGCGATGTGGACGGGTAGCCAGCCAAATTCACACTATAGGGCCGACCCGAACTGAACTGCGCTGGCTTGGATATGTTCTTTTCACATTGTCCTTTCCCGCACGGGTCCAGCAACTATGGTAGATGCGTTACCAGGCCAGCTCAGTACAGCTCGACTTGCTTGGATCGATTTGTCTCTTTTAGTGTGAATCAGGATTGTATGTGTATTTGTCTTAACTATTTTGGATGTATGATAGGTAGCCTGGTTGGGAGGTGGGTAGGTAGATAGGTTGATAAAGAGAATAGTGTAATAGTACTAAATGTTAATATCTTTCCCTCATCAGAGATTGACAGGCACCTGTTGGAGTTCCAAGGCGGGACCTTCCCTCTCTCAGCCATTGGCTCCTGTAAAGGAAGTGGTGGCAGGAAGGGGCGGGACAGCGGCATGTGGAGACGAGCCAATACCAGCCCACGAAAGAAGGGGAGCCCCACCTCCAACTGGAGCTGTGGAGGTTCTCTCAGAGAAGGTAAGGATGAAGTAGTGTTTTCCCCTTCCATTGTATAGTTTACCCTACGATTTTAGTTAGAATAGCCATAATGGATATTCATGTTGTCCTTTTGTTGCCCGCAGGGTCATTGTCCAACACTGATGTCCGCTTTATCACCAACGGCAACGCTCTGAGGTGAGTGATGTTAACCTGAGCCGTTTATTTGACACTATTGGGAAGTATCCATTTAGGAATGTTTTACAGTAAAATGTGTTTATATAACACAACCTCTGTAATTTATATAATGTGATATGCTGTGTTCTAGCCTCTAGGAAACGTGATAGAATAGAGTATTGCTGAGAGCATCCAGCAGGGGTCAGTGTATTTTTATCTAAGTGCGTGCTGATGTTGTACTGTACTGTGTGATTGTACTGATGTTGTACTGTAGTGTGATTGTACTGATGTTGTGCTGTGTGTGTGATTGTACTGATGCTGTGCTGTGTGTGTGATTGCAGTGTTGTAGATGGTGACCCTGTGAGTCTGTCTCTCTGCTCTGACGATGAGACTGATCTGATCAGGGAGCTGCAGACCTCATGTGCTCCAGCAAGTCAGAGCCAGACATCAGCAAGGTACCACTCACCCTCTTTCGCTCTCTCTCTTTCACTCTCTCTCTCACACACACACACACACACACACACACACACACACACACACACACACACACACACACACACACACACACACACACACACACCATGAGGTTGACCTTTTCTGCCGGCTGTATTTCTATACGTTGCAGATTGCTCAGTCCAAGGAGGACTTCATTGTCTTCTCTGGCTCTCCAAGTGGACAATCGCCCCGCCGGAAGACCGACCGTGAAGCAACCGCTCGACCACGACCACAGACGGTGAGTCAAACCGCACTTAAAGGCTCTAGTTAATGGCTTTTGTTCCAGCCTAGCACTAATGCACCTATTCAGTTCAGCTCATCACGTGCAGGGCTAGAACAAAAATGTGAACTGTCTGGTGGTCCCACAGCAGAGGGTTGGGAAACACTTGCTCATCTGTCTCCCCCTTTACAGACCGGCAGCCGTCACTCCACTCCCAGCCCCGCCCCAGGCAGCCCCGCCCCTAGCAATGAGAGGCGATCAGCTTCCCGTCCCAAATCTCAGCTCCCCGTCCCCAGCAGCAGGGGACCGCAGCCACGAGCCAACAGCAGCAGTACTGCGCCACGAACACCCACCACGACCGCTAACCGCAACGCCAGCAGAACTGAACCAAGCAGCAGCAAAACAAGGCAGGCCCCAACAAGACATAACAACAACGTCAACGAAAACAACCAACAACACGAGGACATTTGGATCCTACACCGAGACCTGCATGAAACAACAACAATACCAAGTAGTAGATGAACTCCCTTTCTCCTCTCTTCCTCCTTTTCCATCTTCCTTCCTTCCCACCACTCCGCTGTTATGTCCCTCCATGTTGTAAAGTTAGGATTTATGACGACCTTTTAGTATTTGTACTTGTTATCCGTACTTGTTACACTGTATAACAATTGTGTACTTGGGGACCATAGTTTTATGATATTATACAGTATTGAAAGAAGTTTAAAAAAAGAGACATTCGCAGGGAATTATGTCAAAAGAAAAATAAGAAGTACTTAAAACAGGTTTTACCTTTTGGGGTGAAAGTGTTTTGGATCAAAGAAAAGAAACGGGCAGTTTTTTGCAATTAAGTATTTTCTAATATTCAAGTGTTTTATGTTTAAATAGTTGCAAGGTTGGTTTAAATACTGTTGAAATTAATTAGGGTTTTACCAAATATTTGTAAATAAGAATTATGAGTAACTTTAATGGTATATAGATTGGTGTATGTGGTATTATGCTTGTACAGTAAAGAACTCAAAAAGAAACGCTGAAGAAAAAAAACTTGTATATATGTTTGTAATAATAATATGCGAATTTGGTTCATAACTTTTCACTTGTTTCAAAGTGAATGGAGTGTGGCAATAAGTAAACGTAATTGCAAACACAGGACATTTTTTGCTTTTTGACTGTAAGCCATAAATAAATACTTTAAACTACCCACAATTCCACCTGAGTCATGGTTCGATTGACCCATACACTAGGTGGAGCCTGATACAAATTTCAAAGCAGCATGGTTTGTTCGTTTTCTTTTGTTCAACATGTTTTTTTTTTTTTGAAGAATACATTTTTTTAAAGTGTTATTTTGAATGGCCATTGTTGATAAATGTACAGGAGATATTCTTGTCAACCTTTGGTGTTCTGTTTGCTAGCTGTCTGAAGTTTAAAGAAATGTCCTGCTTCCTTTAAGAACAACCATTAAAACTGCACTGTTAACCCAAAGTCCTCCACCTCGTGTCTTCTTACACCAGGCCACTGGCCTGGGAACAGTATGTAGGACCATACTCCAACTGAGAATTTAAAACAAACAACTTATAAAGGCTTCATAGAGCATTCATAAAGCACTACATAGAGGCTTCACAAATAATTTATAAGGGAAGGCAGTAACACTTAAAGACAAAAGGTGTTGTAATTCTCTATAATTTGGGTCCCATGTTAATGGGAGAATGTTTTTGAATTGAAAACCATCTGCATTACAGCGGGGCTTCAGTACCGGTGTTGAGAAACGCTGTCTTACCAATGACCACTCACACTTGTCTTTTCTCAAGATCGTTTTACAGGAAATATAATCGATTGAAATCAAAAGATTCTAATGGAAAAACAAAATAATTATACATTTTCCTATGAATAAGAAATTGCTTCTTTTTTTTTTCTACACTAAAATATATAGTCCGTAGTCAGTTACATTTCAAGATGTCTAACCAGTAACCACGGTTAGACGTTATAAATTGTGACGTTATAAAAACTAACGTCCAATATCACTAAGGAGGAATGTGCCAAATAAAAATACCAAAAAGGACACAAAAATATTTCCTGCTTCGGAAGAGGGAGCTTAACAAATCACATTTGAAAAAGCGTTTATTTTTATTTTTTATACAGCATTTGATCATACATTTTCCTTGCTATTACCCCACCATGCCACCATGAAAAAGCTAAGGAGTACCTCAGGTTTCTTTAAAGTGCATACAAATAGAAATATAAGGCTACTTGAGGTTCATCACTTGTCCATAGCATCACCCATCATTCCCATTCCTGTTTTGTATATTTACAGCTTTGAATATGTTGCCCCGAGGCACTGTTTTCCTTCCCCAACTCCTAACATTAACCATTGGTAGGGAAACACAAAACTGACCTCAGATCAGTGTCTGGACAACTTCATCCTACTCCATATTTACAGGCAGCTTTCAATTGAGTTTAGGGACTGTATGCTTTTTACAATCTTGCTTAAAGGGTACGGGCTTATATTCAAACAAAACTGGCATTCCAATGTTCTCAAAGTGAAACAAATCTCACTCTGGAAACACCTGGATGGTGCCTTTGATTGAACAGAGCCCTATGTGTACCATTAAGGACCGACCACATCTCACATTCACTCTTATCATCTAGACTAGAGGCTCTATCTCAGTGTATCTTTCCACGATTCCTTGTAAACCTATCTCCTTGCCTCCTCAACCATAATGGAGGAGAAGGTCCAAGGTCCCTCATTTCAGGCCTAATTTTCCAATGTGTTTTGAGAAGGAGTCGAGGAGAGAGGATGCAAGGAAACGAGGAAAGTTCAATTGAGAAAGAGCATTTCAGAAGACAAAATGGCATCCAGTTAATCCGGGGCTCCTCAAAGATGCGTTTCCTGGACATCGTCCTCAGCCTCCTCCTGCAGGGCGGTGATCTTGGGCTGCTGGGACTGAGGGGGTCGCTTGCTGGAGTTGAGGCAGTGCAGAGGGAAGAGTTTGTGGCGCTCAGCAGCACTCATGGCCTGCTTCAGGTGGCTGGTCTCGTTCATCAGCTTCTGAATGGAGTCATACCACTTCATAGAACTGCCCTCAATCATCTGGAGGGTTGGGGGGGGGGATTAGTTGTTTGGTTCCAATAGCTCCGTGGGTTAGAGCATGGTGCTGACAATCATTCTGAACTCAACTCATACCTCACTCAAACCTATACAAACCACAGTAAAACTGCTGACAATTTGGTACAATGAAGGGTTAAAATGACACACTAGGTTGTGTAATGCAGATAGAATGACATGTTGAACATTTTCCAGTGTCAAACACCCAGCATCATGTCTTATGTTACTGTGCCTGCATTGTCACGCTGTCTTCTTGTGTGAACACAAACACAGGTCACTTATACAGGGAGCGTGTACCAACACACACACAGCCCACACAATACCCTTAGTCATGGGACACTGTAAATCAAATGTTCTTTGCAGTGAGGCTAACAAATGGTGATGCACTGATAGAATAATTGAATTCCACTATCTAAAATGGAGGAAAAATTTTGTTTAGCTGGTGGTTTGTGCTCTATTCTCACTTCCAACAGGGAAATACCAAGGGCTCTAGTCCAGTGTTTCCCAACCCTGGTCCTCCAGTACCCCCAACAGTACACCTTTTCATTGTAGCCCTGGACAAACACACCTCATTCAACTCATTGAGGGCTTGATGATTAGTTGACAAGTTGATTCAGGTGTGCTTGTCCAGGGTCACAATAAAAATGTATACTGTTGGGGGTACTGGAGGACCAGGGTTGGGGAACACTGCTCTATTCAATCTGTATCGCTGAAGCGTGTGTGTAAAGGTCATTTCTTATTGAGCCGACATCTGCAGTGTTTACAGTGAATGCAGTATTTCCTAATAGAGCTCTAAATCATTTTAATGGAAGAGATGGGAGCTTAACAAAGGGGGAAACCTAATGCTTAAAGGGAGATAGGTGTGTGCGTGTGCACTAACCAGGAAGGACTGGCACTCCAGCAGTGGTTCCACTCTGTGTTCTGACAGTATGACTGTACAGTTGGAGAACGACTGTTTCAGCGTCTTCCTCAGGACCTGCAGCGTTCTGTGAACCAGAAACAAACCAAAACACAACCTTTAGACAACGTTCTTCAGTCAACCATACACAAACCAAAGTAGACTAAATTAACCAGAGAGTTTAACAATAGGCCTACATACACACATATATAAACACACACACATGCTGTCTCTCATTCTCCTTTTATGTACACACTCCTTCCCCAATGTGCACTTCCTGCTGAGATGACGCTGAAAGCAGCAGCTCTGAAGTAGACCGGTGTCATCAACCACCACTAATTCACTCATTACAGGCACCATTTAGCTTAAATACGTGTGTCTTTACGTGTGGTAACACACATACTGCACAAACACACACAGTCACAAAGACTTACAGTAAGTGCTGGAATTGTCACCACCTGCAGTGAGACTGTTAGGCTGTGTTTTCTACAGCCACCATAAGAACCCAGTCTGATTTTCTTTCTATAGCCAATCTTTTTTTCTGACTGTCCACACTCAGTTTTACATGTGATCCATATCAGATTTGCACATTCACACGGATGTAGCCTCAGAGGGGTGGTTGTCATTGTAATGACTGGTCCTGTGCAACAACAAAAAACACTTCAGAGCAAACAAATCTGTTTGAGCGTCCAGACAGAGGTCGCATATGGAAGATCAGGTTTGTATCAGGATTCAGATCCACGTACTGTATGGAGGCGGAATGAATCGGAAGTCAAAGGCTGTGTTTACACAGCCAGCCCAATTCTGATCTTTTGCCCAATTATTGTCAAAAGAGCTTACCTGATTGGCCAAAAACAATTAGTGGAAAGAAATCTGATTCCATGTGTTTTTTTTGGCTGATTACACATTAGTGAAAATATCAGATAGGTATCAGATATGCAAATAATTGGCAAAAGATCTGAATTGGGCTGCCTGTGTAAATGCAGCCTCATACATACACCAGAGGAGGCTGGTGAGGGGGAGACAGCTCATAATAATGAATGGAATGGAGTGAATGGAATGGTATCAAACACATGGAAACCATGTTTGATGTGTTGGAGACCATTCTATTCATTCCATTCCAGCCATTACTATGAGCCCGTCCTCCCCATTTAAAGTGCCACCAGCCACCACTGGCACACACACTTATCTTCCATGTCCAACCTCCAAAACGAGATCATAGTCGACGCTCTCTCTCAATCCTGCAGAGCGCGAACGGTCGATCTATCTGACGTCTTCTCTCGATATTCTCCTCTACCTCTCCTCTCCTCTCCTCTCTATCTCTCTCTCTCATCTCTCTCGCTCTCTCCTCTCTCTCTCTCTCTCTCATCCTCTCTTCTCTCTCTCTCTGTGTCTCTCTCTCTCTCTGTGTCCTCTCTCCCCTCCCTCCCTCCCTCCCTCCCTCCATCCCTCCCTCCCTCCCCTCCCTCCTCTTACATGGGGTCGAGGTATGCGCTGGGTTCATCCAGTAGTAGTATGCGGGCCTTGCTGAGGATGGAGCGGGCCAGACACATGAGCTGCTTGTGTCCGTTACTCAGGACGTAACCCCCATCCTCCAGCTGGAAGTCCAGCTTGTCTGGGAACTGCTCTATCACTGACTTCAGACCCACCTGGAGGACACATAGAACAGGAAACATGGAGGATCTCAATCAATCAATCAATCAATCAATCAAATAAACAATTAAATGTACTGACTCATTGAATGATATGTGGTATGTGTGTATCCCCTGTTGACAAGGGACCTCCATAAGCAGGGCAAAACAGGTGACATTGAGTCAGTCTGATGTGGATTTTAGGTTAGTACTATGCGTTTGAAAAGGTCTACCACCTTCATTGTAAGGAGCCAAAACAAATACAGTATGTGCATTCTGTGATCTATGACGCAATTTATAGGAGAGCAACATCACATAACCTGTGGTCACAGAGTCAAGAGAAGCAGTCTTGCATGTGTCTCCTGTTTCTCGTCTGGCTGTGCTAGCTATGCAACCACCACTATGGTGTGGCTATGGTGGCACCGTCACTGCCCTGCTGCACACACACGTACAAAGCAACACCTTACCATCAGCATAGCGTGTCAGAATGAGGTCACTACAGTATGGTAGGAAAGGTGTCAGTGTGACTCTCTGCAGTGTACAGACAGACTGACGGACAGACAGAAAGGTGAGGACAGTGATAGAGAGTGGATAAGTAAAGAGATAGAGGGGAGCGGTTGGGGTTGTGGTTGAGGCTAGAGCTAGGGTTGAACCGGGATGTGGACATAAGGTTAGGGTTGTGGTTAAGACTAGAGTTAGGGTTGTGGTTGAGGGTTAGGGTTGAACTGGGATGTGGACATGAAGCTAGGGTTAGGGTTAGAACAGAGACCAGTGTGACTGATGTGAACGTTGGGTCTCACCTCCTCAGCCACCCGCCACAGTTCCTCGTCACTGTGGCGAGCATATGGATCCAGGTTCATTCGAAATGTTCCAGTCAGGATGAAGACTTTCTGTCAAGCAAATCAGTTTAGGGCAAACATTCATCCACAGCCAAATATCATTGAACTTCTGAGCACCAAGTCTAGTTGTGGGGTGGTATTTACCTGTGGCACCACGCCGAAGGCTTTCCTCCAGGTCTGTAGGGTGACAGAGTTCCAGGAGACCCCATCAATGGAGATCTCTCCATCTGTAGAGGCCAGCCGCAGGAGGGCAGAGAGCAGGGTGCTCTTCCCTGAGCCTGTCCTCCCCAACACACCCACCTACACACAAAGCAATGAACATCCACACAGTTAAAACACCCTCCTACAGTACCGACACACAGCAAAACACTATTCAGATTATGTCCCCAAAATGTAGATCAAAATGTAGAAACAGATCTTGAGCCGGCATTTTCACCATGATAAACCAACAATGTGGAATGAGAGACTACTGTAGAATTAGTATTGGGGAGTAGTGAACTACATGTAGTTCAACCAGTAATTTAACTTGCAGTAGCTTGGTGGTAGTTAAACTAAATTCAAATTTTGGTAGTGTTTTCAGTAGTTAATAGCTTTTTTTGCATAGCTAACTACTGGAAATACACACAACTTTAAGATATAAGATATGGGTGAAGTAGGCCAGAATTTCCTTTCTTTTTCAGCATCAGATCTGCCTAATTCTCACTTGAAACATAGTTGTTGTGTTTTTAAAGGCTAGATGACACATTCTGTTTACATCTGACTCCAGATCTGTTCTTCCGATTGTTAGCCTATGAGGTTTCAGATTTAGATATGTAACTTTAGTTAAGTCAACTATATTTTTCTTAAGGATAGCTTTAGTGTATCTTAACTTCTTTCAGTGAGAAGTAAATTGGTAACTTGGTAAATTATATTTTCAGAGTAGCTTCCACAACACCGTGTAGAACCACTCTCCCTCAGGCCAGAGCGTCAGTGACAATTAGGCCATTAGCGGGAAGTTTTAGCTAATGGCTAGTGCGCTAGGCTAAAGTGCTAACACTAAGATAGCCTCCCTCAGGCCTCGTTACTAGGAGCTGTATCTCTCCTAATTACCTCTCAAGACACACCACTGAGAGTCTGAGTCTCTCTAGCCTCCTAACAGACTTTGAGAGATTAATATACTGTATGCCCGCCTGAGAGCAGGACCGTCAGCCCTGCATCAGCCCCTCATCAGCCACGCACGCACGCACGCACGCACGCACGCACGCACGCACGCACGCACGCACGCACGCACGCACGCACGCACGCACGCACGCACGCACGCACGCACGCACGCACGCACACACACACACACACACACACACACACACACACACACACACACACACACACACACACACACTCCCCTCCACCCAATGTAACCTACACTCTGTCCTCCTTCCACAGTGAAGGAGAGGTTCTGCAGGACGGAGCGTCCGGCCTCTGTGTATTTGACGGTCAGTCCTTGGACGTCCATGTGGCCCTGGTTGGGCCAGCAGTCTTGGGCGTGGGGGTTGTCGATCACCAGGTCTGTTCCTTTACCACCACCACTGGGTCTGGGCTCCTCTTGAGGCAGGTCGATGAACTTGAAGACCCGGTCTACCGATCGCATCTGGGGGAATAGGGGATGGAGAGATGAGAGAGGTAGGAGGGAGTTGTGTGTTGTGCACGTCATGAGAGAATAACTAACAATCTGTAACTAACAATCTGTGTGAATGTTTCTGTCGGGGCCGGGGAACATGGAACGTGTGTGTGTGTTTGTGTAGGGTGGGGGAGTGAGTGAGTAAGGTGTAAGTGAGGTCAATGAATAAATAAGTAAATGTGTGTTACCTACTATCCTGCTATGTGTGACGGTATGTTTGAGTAGTGAGCTCCCTTGCCCTGGTTAATGAGTTCTATTCTCACGCAGTAGTATCAGTCGGTCTGGCAATAACACTGAATGTTTCTTCTCTCTCTGTGAACACTAGGAGAACTACATGTCCTGCACTGTGATTAGCAGAATCACTGAGCCTGAACGCAGCTCATTTCAACAACAACACATATGCACGCACACACACACTGGAGAACTGACTATATTCTTACCTAACAATAAATAAATAGTATCCCGCACATACAAAGTCAAGGATATTCACATTTCATTGAGCATGTGCTTGTGTTACTGATGACTGACCACTAGTAATGTAGTATGCAAATACAAGTCTATCTACCGTGATACTAGTGATGATTGATCAAAACTCTGTGTGTGTGTGTGTGTGTGTGTGTGTGTGTGTGTGTGTGTGTGTGTGTGTGTGTGTGTGTGTGTGCGTGCGTGTGTACATGCCAGTCCGTCCACAGTGATGCTGGTGATGACAGCCCATTGGAACGTCCCAAGGATGAGCATGGCTAAGGCCACAATGATGCCAATCTCCCCAGGCTTGTCCTCTGTGGAATACACACATTATCAATGGGCAGTCAGCAGTCACACACACACACACACACTTGCATGCACACACACACACACATTAGCATTAACAAACAAAGTATCACGCACGCATGCAGACACACTGGTAATAGCACACTTCATTGCAACCTGATGTTATCCACACACAAACACACAGATATTAATGAAAGTGAATGATTACCTCTAAATTCACTCCCAACATAAACACTGTGGTCCATTGAGACATGTTCTATGTCACAACACTACGGGTGCATGCAAACATACTGGCATTTCATTCAAACCCTTCAGTTTAGTACATCGCCCATAAGGAGGCAACAACTTACGCAGGTCTGATGTAGATATGTGTACATGCGATGCAATCTGCATCTCCTAACAATGTGCCCAAACGTATTTGTAAGCTGTCAAAATGGTGTGTGTGTGTGCGTGCGTGCATCTGTCTGTCTGTCCGTCCGTCCGTCTATCTGTCTGTGTGTGTCACTCACGGTTGGTTCCCACGGCGATGAAGGCTGCGGCGCTGAAGAAGAAGACGAAGATGATGTCACAGCGGAAGAGGAACCATCGCAGCGTGGAGAGGTAGTGGAACCATATGGCCGTGTGGGTGTTCAGGGCCTTGTGGAACAATGTTTCAAAGTAGGACTGACGACCAAATGCACGGATGGTCCACAGGCCCTTCAGAGAGATGATGAGGTGGGAGAAGATAGGGCTACGGGCTGGGAGGAGGGAGAAAGACAGAATGAGAAAGAGAGATATAAAGAGAGTGAGTAGAAGAAGAAAAAAAGAGATCAAAGGGGGAGAGAGATAAAGAGGGGAGGAAAGTAGAGAGATAAAGAGGGGAGGCAAGTAGAGAGATAAAGAGGGGAGGCAAGTAGAGAGATAAAGAGGGGAGGCAAGTAGAGAGATAAAGAGGGGAGGCAAGTAGAGAGATAAAGAGGGGAGGCAAGTAGAGAGATAAAGAGGGGAGGCAAGTAGAGAGATAAAGAGGGGAGGCATGTAGAGAGATAAAGAGGGGAGGCAAGTAGAGAGATAAAGAAGGGAGAGAGGCAGGAAGGGCGGAGAGAAGAGAAACAGAAGCATTAGTCAATCACTCACAGGAGGTCCGACATAACATCTACGTACTTCTTGACCAAAATGCATGGTTGATGTGGACTTGTTGATGGAATTTCAATTTACTTCCTGGCCCCAACCCTGACTTACAGTACGCCACGTAAGCTAGAAAACATCAGTTTGCTGTTTCAGAGGGGCGTGTTTATGTGAGGAGTCACAAAGAGTCAGAAGTGTACTATCCTGCAACAGTCTATGTGCCGGGGGGCTAGGGTCAGTCTGTTATATCTGGTGTCCAGTGTGAATTTAAGTATGCTCCCTCTAATTCTCTCTCTCTCTCCCTCTCTCTCTCCCCTCCTGGAGGACCTGAGCCCTAGGACCATGCCTCAGGACTACCTGGCCTGATGACTCCTGGCTGTCCCCAGTCCACCTGGTCGTGCTGCTGCTCCAGTTTCAACTGCGGCTATGGAACCTTGACCTGTTCACCGGAAGTGCTACCTTGTCCCGGACCAGCTGTTTTCAACTCGCCCTCTCACTCTCTCTCTCCCTCTCTCTCTACCGCACCTGCTGTCTCGACCTCTGAATGCTCGGCTATGAAAAGCCAACTGACATTTACTCCTGAGGTGCTAACCTGTTGCACCCTCTACAACCACTGTGATTATTATTTGACCCTGCTGGTCATCTATGAACATTTGAACATCTTGAGGAACAATATAGCCTTAATGGCAATGTTCTCTTATAATCTCCACCCGGCACAGCCAGAAGAGGACTGGCCACCCCTCAGAGCCTGGTTCCTCTCTAGGTTTCATCCTTGGTTCCTGCCTTTCTAGGGAGTTTTTCCTAGCCACCGTGCTTCTTCATCTGCATTGCTTGCTGTTTGGGGTTTTAGGCTGGGTTTCTGTATAGCACTTTGTGACATCTGCTGATGTAAAAAGGGCTTTATAAATAAATGTAATTGATTTGATTGATACAGTGTCACAACAATAAAGAGCATACAGAATTTGTTCAGACCACCTTGTATAAAACCAAGGCTCTTGTTATGAGATTAACCTTGATGTTTCTCATTTACAGATGTAGGAAATGCAGATGAGCTTCATGATTTACATAATTCACTGAAAACACTGCTGATCTAAAAAGGGCTTTATAAATAAATATGATTGATTTGATTGATACAGTGTCACAACAATAAAGAGCATACAGAGAGTCTGGGTGTGTTTTGTCTGTAGGGGACAGGGAGAGTGTATGGGTGTGTTTTGTCCGTAGGGGACAGGGAGAGAGTCTGTGTGTGTTTTGTCCTGTTGAGGACAGTGAGAGAGTCTGTGTGTTTTGTCCTGTTGGGGACAGTGTGTGTGATTGTGTGTTTTGTCCAGGAAGGAACAAAGAATGTGTGTGTTTTGTTCAGTCGTGTGTGTTTTGGGAAAGGAAAGGGAAAGGGGGATATCTAGTCAGTTGTACAACTGAATGCATTCAACTGAAATGTGTCTTCCGCATTTAACCTCTGAATCAGAGAGGTGTGTGGTGCCTTAATCGACGTCTGCGTCATCGGCGCCCGGGAAAATGTTGTTGTAGGGGGTTAACGGTGTGTTTTGTCTAGTTGTCTAGTTGGAGACAGGGAGAGAGTTTTGTTATTTTGGGGACAGTGAGTCTGTGTGTGTTCAGTGAGGGACAGTGAGAGAGCGATGCCAGGATGGAGCCAGAGGAAAAAAATATTCACTCCGACCCCTTCGTGCTCTCTATGGCTGCGGGAAGGCCTTGTTGTTGCCATCAGCGACACACTCGGAATGACAGGATCAGGAGGAGTAATGTCGGAATGTCCCAAGTCCCGGCATGGACACACACACACTTCTCTCTCATCCAACAAGGTGGGAATGTATGGAACAAGTAAGTTAGGGGGAATGTATGGAATGTTTTCAGAATGTTGGGAATTGTTGTGGTGAGGGAGAACTCAAGCAAGAGATCCATTACTTATCTTATCCACTATCCAGTCACGTCAGATCAGTTGTCAGTCCAAGGAGAGAAGAAAGGAAGTATCCAATTGTTAAAGGGCCACCACTTTCCATCTAACTAAAGGACCCGAGGACAGATATAGCCGTCCGCCAATCATTTATTTTAAGTAAACACTCAGGGTTGTAGGATTTCAAATCTCATTGGACGAGAGCTGACCTCGCACTCTAACAAGTCCCACTTCCCCTTCAGAGGCCCTCTCTCCTCTGCGCATCCTCTCCGGCCTCCACCCTCTCCTCCCTCCATTTCTCTTCTCCCTTCACCCTGTTGTTGTCCATCAGGTAAATGTTTTACCCTTGGTGCTGTGCCACTTGCCACCCCTGGTCTGCTGGCAGCACTGCCTTCCCACTGACAGACACGATAGACCAGTGGTAGTCTCATAGTCTGCTGTCCGCTGCTATAACTTCCTACAGTCGCTTTTCTCTCCAAAAGGTGATATCTCTTCTCTCCATTCGCTCTTTCTAATCCTCCGCTCCTGTTTTCACTCTCCTTTCTTTTATATCCCTTACTTTGTTCGCCTCCTTGCACAGTACAATGTAACTTCTGGAATAGTTCCAAAAGTATCAACTCTGCCCATCTTTCTTGCCAGTCAAGATAAATCAAGCACACCTCCAGTATTTGAAAGTGCCCCATCCCCAGCCCCATTCAATCCCCCTCCCAGTCTCACCCTCAGCCTCCAGTTGTTTGAGCTGCTGTCCTGTACGCAGGAAGTACTTCCTCAGGACCATGAATATGACGGCCAATGGGATCGCGGCGATGAAGATGTATGGCCGCATGATGGACACAGTAAATATGGCACCCAGCACGATCAGACTTAACTAGAGGGAGAGAATATGAAAAAGACAGAGATAGATAGAGATTGAGACTGGGAGAGACTCTCTTTCAGAAAGACTGAGACTGGCAGAGCAGCCAGTCACCTACCTGGATGAGGTCAAACAGTGCAAGAGGAAGCATGTCGTCAATGGTGGCCATGTCTTTAGTGAACCTGTTCATGATCCGACCTACAGGGCAGAAAAACACACACATGGAATTGACTGCTGCTGAACGATGGAGGAATTGACTGGTGGTGGTCGTACTGACTAACTGACTGATGTATATGCTGTGAGATTACATAGACAACTGACTGATAAGTTAGCCATCAAAGCCTGTGTTCAGATACCGGTAGATGCATGTACGTATGTATCTCTAGCAGATTGGTTAAGCCAGGGGTTTCAGCAGTGGGCCTCACCTGTCTTCATAGTGTTGAGTACGGCCATGGGGGCCCTCAGCACAGCAGTGAGCATCTGTTCATGCAGCCTCTTGGACACGGTCAGTAAGGTGTGGACCAGTGGCAGGCCTCTGAAGAACCCCAGTGCCAGAACGCTCTCCGACGTCGCCACGTAGATGTAGATGATGTAATAGGCGCTGGTTGGCGTGACGATGACTGACTGTTGGACGGCGGGTGACGAGGCGTTGGAGTGTTGTTGGTCTACGTAGTTAGGCGCCAACGGGTTGGCCTCCTCTGTCCAGATCTTACTGAGAGGGAGAGAAGAAAGCACAACAAACATTCGTATCTGAATGATGGTTTTTCCTACTCTAGGCCAGGTCCTGAGAGACCACAGTGGATGTTTTTTTTTTACTGGTCTTTTGTTTGAGTACTGTACTTTGTATTGGGCTGTTTATATGTTATCTGGCTGATCTTGGTGTCTTGTGGTGGATACTACTTGTTCACCATTGATTGTAGGCTGATCATCCTAGTGCCTTGTGATGAATATTACAGTACACGTAAAAAACAAACAACAACTTACTCTGTGATAAGAAATATCCCCAGGACAGAGCCAGCAACCTACAACACACAATAAACACAGTTAGACTGAGGGTGGCACCATGCATTGTAATTATATTGTCAATAGGCAATATAATTATGCAATTATGATCCAACAGGGACGCTGTAGTCTCGCGCTACCAGACGTCACTCTGTATTCTCGCTCAAGAATTCCAGAAAGGCTAGAGTTGAGGTTAGGATTCTTTAATACAGTGTTGTTATGGGTTAATATAGAATATATCCTGTATTACAGTATTGTTATCATTTAAGGCCAGGCACAACACTCTAATAGGGTACTTTTCTTCCCCTTAATCATATTACAAATTTTACCAGTTGAATGTGGACACAAATATAATACTTTTTAGTATTACAATTTTTCAGAAATGTTTTATTAAAATAAGCAAATTGTGTGATATCTCATTAAATATGCGCCTATCTGCATATCACGCAAATCCATTTTTCGGTACACTGGATCAAGTCAGTCTAAATATTTTGGTTTCATTTTGTTAAAACATTCCAGGATATAGCAGATTGTGGATAAATACTTTTTTCATCTTTCTATCTGTAAAATACAAAAAAAAGGTACGTAAAATGCATTTTTGTTGTAGAACATGTAAGAACGAACTTCATAGCCATTGAATATTGCTGTGCATTATAGTGAAATAATGCACACTCTAGAATGCCCTTCAAGCTAATCAGAAACGAGTATTCAACAATTGTGTGGTATAATATAATATATATATATATATATATATATATATATATATATATATATATATATATATATATACAGTATATACAGTATATAGTTCCGCTCCATTGCACATTATCCATTGTAAATTGTTTATTCATCCATACCATGCATAAAAGGTGATTCTGATTTCCTCTAATACAGTATTGTTATTGTTTAATATAGTATCACTACAGTATCTCCAAGACAGGGATTATCTAATGTTATCATTTAATACAGTTTCTTTACCTCTACAGCGAAGACGAGGAAGATGAAGATGAGGACGTAGACGAGGTTCCGGTTGGTGAAGATGTAACGCAGGTAGGTATTCCACGACGTCGTCTCAAACACGTTCTCACGCTCGTCTGCAAAGCATTGCTGCAAACAGACAAAGGATATATGTCAAATGAAATACTCAAACCTAGCTGTTCTTTGTGTTTTGTCTTCAAATGTTTCTATTCAAACGTTGTTTTGGAAAAGGTGGTTCAAACATTGGTGCACTTTCTATGATGTCCCCTGGGCTATTCCTTGACCCTAACCCTTACCCTAACCTCCATGTGCTCATAAAGACCAGCAGTTACAGAGGAAAACATCCAACCTGCCTTGAACCCAACCAGCTCCCTTCACTGAACCTACCTCCATGTCCTGCTCGTCCACATCCTCGCTGATGTCATAGATAATATCTTTGGACAGGCGTCGTGCGTAGATGTCCAGCTCAGAGGCCAGCTCGCACTGTGGCGTGATGGACAGCTTCTTCCTGAAGGACGTCTGAAGCTGCACCCTCCTGCCCTGCCCCTGGGCGTTGGTGATGAACTGCAGCACAGACTGGCGGCGCTGCCCGCTCAGGTGCTGCAGGCCGTGGTGGTACAGGTTCCCCCGCGGCAGCGACTCTTCAACCTATAATATATAATAATATAATATATGCCATTTAGCAGATGCTTATTAGCAGACGCACCTCATTTAGCAGATGCACCTGCAATCAAATCAATGGATTTGTCATATGCACAGGATACAGCATAGTACTGTGCACAGTGCAATGAAATGCTTACTAAAATACAAGCTCTCCTCTCAAACAGCTATAAAAATATCCAATGAACAATAAGTAGAAAAACAGCACAATAAGAATACTTTGAGCCAGTTTCCCAGACACAGATCAAGCCTAGTCCCGGACTAAAAAGTATTCCCAATGGAGATTCTCCATTGAAAGCATTTGTTTGTCCAGGACTAGGCTTAATCTGTGTGCGGGAAGCCTCCCCTCAGTCAATGAAAATAAGTAGAGAAGCAGCCTCACCTGATCGTCCTCGGGCACCACTGAGAACTTCCTCTCTGACAGCTCCCGCACGGCATCCTCGATAGTGGTGGACCCGGGTGGAGGAGCCTGGACTTTCTGGGGCCCCGTACCGATGAAGGAGAATTTACGGGCCGGCGCTAACGGATTCAGGATAATTGACTGTTTACGTTTTTCTGCTGCTGTGAGACCGTCACCCCCGGCGATGGTGATGGCTTGAGGGCCATTGTTGGTACAGGTGATCGGTGGCGGGGGCTGGCGGAAGGACTGGTGGATGGGTTCGGGGCCACGGAAGATGGCAGATTCATCGATGGAGACGCGTCGGAGGGTCTCGGTGAGGATGGAGCTGCGGCGTTCGGCGTTGATGTTATCGTAGGCCTCCAGGCCCAGGAGCAGGGAGCTGAAGTCTGGTCTCTGGGCCTGCAGCTGGGAGAAGGAGCCGTAGAAATAACACACTCCGTTGTGAAGCAGAAGGATCTTGTCCGCTCTCTTAAGGTGGTCCAGCTTACTGGTGACCACAATACGAGTCTTGGAGGACATCAGTTTACACAGACACCTGGCAAGAGAAAACACATGTATCCTTTGTTTAGTTTGATCAAACTTTACTTTAGGCCTTTGAAAAATAAATAGAAAGAGATTATAAGTTTCACATTGCTGTTCAATCCTGTGCTTGCCCTCATTTCTGGGAGGGAAGATGCTGATAACACAAATGTCCGAAATTAGATCAAAGATCATTCATGTCAGACAGAAAGTGACATTTCCACAAAAAGCCCTTTGATCGACCCTGGGAACACTTCACCACCTAACCCAATTTCTCAATAGGTCAAAGACAACAAGAAAGATGCAACCTTGACCTTAACCTTCTCTCCTCTCCTTAACCATTCACCCAGCCCATTCCACCCAGCCCAACCCTCCCCCATCCGCCAGGCCCGGCCAATATGAAAGCTTCAGTGTTGAGCCACAGACAGACCTCTCAAAGATCTCTTTCTCAGTCACAATGTCCAGGTGGGTAAAAGGTGAATCCAATAGGTAGAGGTCGGCGTCTTTATACACAGCTCTGTAATAGCACACACAAATACACAGAGAAACACACACATGCACGCACACACACAAACGGATAAATGGAAGTAAGTAATAAATCAAATAGGCTTTTAAATGAGGAAGTTAAGTCCCTGTGGGATTCAATTCAGTTTAAGAGATACATTTACTATGACAATATAGCGAAACCGACAATGATGCCCTTTGTTAAGTGGGAGCAAATGGACACCCAGTACAATAAAACCAATAAATTATGAATATGTCGGAATGTTGGAATATACATCAAGATTTAATGTGTCCTAATAAAGTTAGTTTGAGTCTGCAGAAGTACCAGAAATAAAACACATTAAATCATAGAACACTACAGTTGCAAGAGCTGAACTAACTCAAATATATTGATTCTGTAGTAATCATCTTTTTCATAGGGCATTATGACCAATCAGGATGCACAATTCATGCATACACTGTCCCATAACAGCAGTCTCGTGGGCAAAACAACACAAGATGCATTCTTCCTTCAAGAGTATCATGTCACATTCCATTGACATTGACATTTTAGAAGGTAAGTATAGGAACACATTTAACAAGCCATAACACGAGTAATGACTTCAAAAAAATAAACCACAGTGCTCTGGCAAGTAGGTCACATATCTTCGGTGTTGAATGAGTGTTGCCACAGGTCATACGGGCCGGCGCTAACGGAGAGACAGGTGTGTTTGTGTGTGTGTGTACAGGTACGTACCTGGCCAGGCCTATCCTCGCCCTCTGACCTCCACTAAGGGTCACCCCTCCCTCCATAAGGGGCGTCATGTCTTTCTCCGGCAGCAGGGCCAGATCCTGAGGGGAGAGCAGGGGAGGTTTTGATTCATGTTTGAAACATAGACACACACCCACACACAAATACATGAAAGGTAGGGGAGCAGCACAACTAAATGTGTCAGGGAAAACAAAGATAAAAGTTCAGTGTTAGTAGACATAACAGACTGAAATGGCAACTGCAAAAATAAAAACAAATGGTTTGTTTACATCTATTACTCCTGAAAGAAGGTTGATAAGAAACTGGGCACAGACTCAGTTCAACGTCCCCTAGTTTTTCTGTCAAGTATTTAAATGTGAAATAAAATAATCTGAGGCCTGGTAAAAAAATGGTCTAAAGTACTGTAGGTGACAGTAACACAACTGAGTTTTGCAAATCCAATTCCTTTTTCATATTGGTATACAGCTACAAAGCAATCAAATCACATATATATATTCTTATTTTTTTAGCAGACGCTCTTATCCAGAGCGACTTACAGTTAGTGAGTGCATACATTATTTTAATTTTTTTCATATTGGTCCCCCGTGGGAAACGAACCCAAAACCCTGGCGTTGCAAACGCCATGCTCTACCAACTGAGCTACACGGGACTATATACTTAAAACAATTTTTTTTAAATGTATTTACGGCAGAAAGGTTGGATTTCAAAAGTCTAATTCCACCACATCAAACATACCTAAAAAGACACACTGAAACATGAAAGGAGTATGAAAAACATCACAAATGCCCACTAAAAAACTACTTATCATTTAGAAAATAGCCTATGTGGTCAGAAACATGCACTCTACTGTCAAAATGTACTGCAAAGTTTTTTTGATAAAACATAGTTTTTGAGACTTGTGGTCGTGACTGAGTCACAACGTAAAAGGTTGGGTTTGTTTCAATCCTGCCCACATGCCGTCAGCACACAAGTAATCAACAATTTGGAGTGCAGCTGCACGCGACCCGATCATAATGCCTGTGGTAAATTTGGATTGTCTATGGGGCTAGTTAGGGACCATCGGTAAATAACACAATGTACATGGGACACAATGTTAAAATTTCAATAACTCCAAATTTCAATGACTTAAAAACCTCAAACAAACTATAAATTGTAGAAATTCATATACAAATATTGAAAACATTTAAGGAGAAAACCAAAAGTTGTGAACATGAAAATATTGTCTAATTTACATTGTGTAATAAATTATTCATGGCCCCTAACTAGCCACGGAGATAGGCTATCCAAAGTCAAACCACGGTCGCACACCAGCCGGCTGAAGCTAATTGGCTAAATAATTTGGCTAACTCAAACACAAACGTCTGAAACACGTAAACCAACATGTGAAAGAATGAATTTAGTCATACATAAATCCTCCTACCTTCCGCTATCCAAAAGGAAGGCATTGGGAATTAAGTTAAGAGGTTGTTTAACAGGTCGTAAAACACAGCAAGTGGAGAAAAGGCACATTGTGTGTCTCACACTGAAAAAAGTCACTGTGTGGCTAGCGCTACAAGCTAACTATTCTCTCACCGTAAGACTTGGTTTTGGGTGCCGAGATTACAAGCTAACGAACTGTTAACATGTAAAATGATTGGGGTTTACAAGAAACAGCCCACCCATGATAATTATCTGGTCCTAGGAGAGGCAAAAAGGGACTGGAGCATGATCACAAGCCCACTAAACACAGTCTGATTCGTCAGATGTCTCTCACAGGTGTCTCTTTTTTCTCTCCGTCTCAGACCACGTATTCCAGATTGCTTTTGTCATATTCTCTTTGAGAGGTGGAATATTCATGACTCCTCTGAAGTCACTCAGTTGTTGAGAGTTTGGAAAAAGGTAAACATTACACAGTTACATAAGAGTGAAAGGTCAGGTCAAAAGGTGCTCATTGTGAGGTGTCAAAGGGTTAAAATAGGTGCATACAGTAGTGTTTGCTTCAAAACAAGCAATAACACACGTAGGCCTATCACCTATAGTTGCAATGGCATATCAAAGGAGCTGTTCCATAATGCCTTTTGTAACAGTCTTTTTCAATGTAGCTGTTTAGTTAGCACTTATTGGGGGGTGGGCTGGCACAGATTTCAAACAGTGCCTCAAGAGGCCTCAGGTAACACACCATCCAAATGATCTGTGCCAAATAATCAATACCACAGGGCATGAGCGGTGCCAGTGTGCCACTAATCATTTTCACGCCTTCTCAGTGGTCTAAATGTAAAACCAATAAATGCTACTGTATAGAGTTTTCTGGTCAGGTCACGTAGTCAGGAAAAACTGACCCTAAGTATATAGAGATACACAGAAACACAGATTGACAATGAATGCTCTAGTCTTGTCTAGTCTACATCAATGCTTGTGACTGAGCAAGCTGATATTCCGTCCCAATGATATAATGTGGGGTGTCCATGGCAACGGGAGTGTCAGGGACAGTAATCCAGTGACACGGCCCCCCTGCTGAGGCAGCGGGGCTCCACACAGGGACGGAAGGGTGTGTGTATGTGTAAACTGGTAAAATATAACATCTCAACTCCTCACAAAGGCTACTGGGTAGACAGCCAGGTAGAACATATGAGTCAAGGGAGGAGAAGAGAATGGGGTTAGGAATGAGAGATTAGCAAGAGAACAGGGGGAGATAGAGAGAGTAGAAGAAAAAACATCAGGTAAAAAGAGGGGAGAAAATTTGAAAAAATTCACATGGACGGTCGGAAATAAAGCAAAGACAAAGGAATGCAAAATAAGTAAAGAAACATCCGACACAACTACATCAAATACCATACCTGAGACCAAAATAATTCTAACCAAGCTAACAGACAACACACAATATAAAAGAGCGACAACATATTTCACTCCACCGTACCTCCTCCAGCTGACAGGCCTTAATGACAGAGGTGTAGCGGAATTTGTCGTAGGTCAGGCCAAACAGGATGTTGTCACGAATGGTTCCAGGCATGATCCAGGCAGTCTGGGGGGAGAAGGAGATCCGCCCACTGTGTCTGATCTTCCCCTCCGATGGGACCAGCTCCCCCAGGATCATCATCAGCAGGGAACTCTGGGGGGGCGTTGAGCACAATAAATGTGAGGGGGTAAAATCGTGTGTGCAGGAGTTCTTTTTTTTTCATCTACAATGTTGATTTTTGGGGGAGTAATTCCCAGCACCACAAAGGAGATAAGCTTGGTAGTGTGTGTTAATCCTGTTATAAAGGGAAGAAATGTCAGAACACCTCTGAACACTATGGAGTACAAATATGCAGAGAGGGGAGAGATACAGTATATGTGCATCCTTAATCTACAGTAAGAGTGTGCAAAGCTGCCATCAAGGCAAATGGTGGCTATTTGAAGGATCTCAAATATAAAATGTATTTTGATTTGTTTAACACTTTTTTGGTTACTACATGATTCCATATGTGTTATTTCATAGTTCTGATGTCTTCACTATTGTTCTACAATGTAGAAAATAGTAAAAATAAAGAAAAACCCTGGAATGAGTAGGTGTGTCCAAACTTTTGACTGGTAGTGTATGTACAAAATTATGCCCTGGAGAGAGAGGAATAATAATGTATTCTATTATATGCTATTCCCTTCAGCTCACCAGGGAAGGGGTGGCGTGTAACTGTTTGAATGTAGAGAGGCAGACACTCATCTCCAAACCTCGGACTGACTGCACTTTATACCACCAGTAGAGGTGAAATTGAGGCATTGACACAAAGTGAGATATTGATAATATTAAGTCCCTCACTTTGTCTCAATATGTAATATATCTCAATCACAGGAGGTTAGTGGCACCTTAATTGGGGAGGCTGGAGCGGAATCAGTGGAATGGTATCCAATACATCAAAAAAATGGTTTCCATGTGTTTGATGCCTTTCCGTTTGATGCCTTTCCATTTGCTCCGTTCCAGCCATTATTATGAGCCGTCCTCCCCTCAGCAGCCTCCACTGATCTCAATATACAGGAGGCTGCTGAGGGGAGGACGGCTCATAATAATGCCCGGAAAGGAGAATCATGTGTTTGATGTACACTATATATACAGAAGTATGTGGACACCCCTTCAAATTAGTGGATTCAGCTATTCCAGCCACACCTGTTGCTGACAGGTGTATAAAATCGAGCACACAGCCATGCAATCTCCATAGACAAACATTGGCAGTAGAATGGCCTTACTGAAGAGCTCAGTGACTTTCAACGTGGCACCGTCATAGGATGCCACCTTTCCAACAACTCAGTTCATAAAATTTCTGCCCTGCTAGAGCTGCCCCGGTCAAATAAAAGGGCTGTTATTGTGAAGTGGAAACGTCTAGGAGCAACAACGGCTCAATCACGAAGTGGTAGGCCACACAAGCTCACAGAATGGGACCGCTGTGTGCTGAAGCGCATAGCGAGTAAAAATCGTCTGTCCTCGGTTGCAACACCCACTACCGAGTCCAAACCTGCCTCTGGAAGCACAAGAACTGTTCGTCGGGAGCGTCATGAAATAGGTTTCCATGGTCGAGCAGCCACACACAAGCCTAAGATCACCATGCGCAATGCCAAGCGTCTGCTAAGCTCGCCTCCATTGGACTCTGGAGCAGTGGAAACGCATTCTCTGTAGTGATGAATCCCGCTTCACCATCTGGCAGTCCAACGGACAAACCTGGGTTTGGTGGATGCCAGGAGAACGCTACCTGCCCGAATGCATAGTGCCAACTGTAAAGTTTGGTGGAGGAGGAATAATAGTCTGTGGCTGTTTTTTATGGTTCGGAGTAGGCCCCATAGTTCAAGTGAAGGGAAATCTTAACGCTACAGTGTGCTTCCAACTTTGTGGCAACAGTGCTTCCATATATGTGCAACAGTTTGGGGAAGGCCCTTTCATGTTTCAGCATGACAATGTCCCCATGCACAAAGCGAGGTCCATACAGAAATGGTTTGTCGAGATTGGTGTGGATGAACTTGAATGCACAGAGCCCTGACCTCAACCCCATCTAACACTTTTGGGATGAATTGGAACGCCGACTGCGAGCCAGGCCTAATCGCCCAACGTCAGTGCCTGACCTCACTAATGCTCTTGTGGCTGAATGGAAGTACTCTGCTCTCATCCTTCTAGACCTATCTGCTGCCTTTGATACTGTGAACCATCAGATCCTCCTCTCCACCCTCTCCGAGTTGGGCATCTCCGGCGCGACTCACTCTTGGATTGCGTCCTACCTCACAGGTCGCTCCTAACAGGTGGGGTGGCGAGAATCTGTAACCGCACCACGTGCTCTCACTACTGGTGTCCCCCAGGGCTCAGTTCTAGGCCCTCTCCTATTCTCTCTATACACCAAGTCATTTGGCTCTGTCATATCCTCACATGGTCTCTCCTATCATTGCTACGCAGACGACACACAATTAATCTTCTCCTTTCCCCCTTCTGATAACCAGGTGGCGAATCGCATCTCTGCATGTCTGGCAGACATATCAGTGTGGATGACGGATCACCACCTCAAGCTGAACCTCGGCAAGACGGAGCTGCTCTTCCTCCCGGGGAAGGACTGCCCGCTCCATGATCTCGCCATCACGGTTGACAACTCCGTTGTGTCCTCCCCCCAGAGTGCAAAGAACCTTGGTGTGACCCTGGACAACACCCTGTCGTTCTCCGCTAACATCAAAGCGGTGACCCGATCCTGTAGGTTCATGCTCTACAACATTCACAGAGTATGACCCTACCTTACACAGGAAGCGGCACAGGTCCTAATCCAGGCACTTGTCATCTCCCGTCTGGACTACTGCAACTCACTGTTGGCTGGGCTCCCTGCCTGTGCCATTAAACCCCTACAACTCATCCAGAACGCTGCAGACCGTCTGGTGTTCAACCTTCCCAAGTTCTCTCAATTCACCCCGCTCCTCCGCACACTCCACTGGCTTCCAGTTGAAGCCTGCATCTGCTACAAGACCATGGTGCTTGCCTACAGAGCTGTGAGAGGAACGGCACCTCCGTACCTTCAGGCTCTGATCAGTCCCTACACCCAAACGAGGGCATTGCGTTCATCCACCTCTGGCCTGCTGGCCCCCCTACCTCTGCGGAAGCACAGTCCCCGCTCAGCCCAGTCAAAACTGGTGCCACCAACCTCCTGTGTCTCAATAATATTATTAAGACACAATATGACCCATTGAGACATGAGGAGCCCACACCCCACACTCCGTCCACCCCAGTGATTGTTCCCAGACAGTGAGTGGTCCAATACCTTTCCTGAGCCTGTGGATCCTTAGTAAAGTGAGACATATTGAAAAACATTATGACATTGCGAGATATGAGAATCACACTTCAGCTACATTACATCAAAGTGCACACTCTGTTGTGACGTTCTACCTGCTACACAGAAACCAACCCAAATCAACTTTTTTATCATTTTATCATTGAACCTCTGCGATTCTTGAGCTTGGACACTGCCATTAGACGCGACGCAACTCAAGCAGTATAGCACCTTTCATCAATTTAAAAGGAAGCATTCCCTCAATGGCAAAGCCGGACGCCCGGTGGCTGTAGTGTAGCAGGGCCGTTACAGGGACTACAGTTGGCACATTTACAGAAATGTTGATTCATGTACATTGTTCCTGTCTAATCAAATAAACAAAGGCCCAGACCTCGTCCGTCCACCCCAGTGTTCCCAGACAGTGAGTGGTAGCGGTACCTTTCCAGAGCCGGTGGATCCAGCCACGGCCAGCATCTTGCCCTTCTCTAGGTACAGGCTGATGTTCTTGAGGACGGGTGTGACATACAGGTTAGTGAAGAACAGCCCTGCGTCACCGTTAGGGTGGCCGTTAGCCTTGTTCTCCTTCTTGATCTTCTCAAAGAGCTCCCCGATACCCTGGAGAGGGGGAAGAGAGTAGGGTGCGAAAGAGAGAAGGGGGAGTGAGAGAGAGGGTGAGAAAGAGCTTTATATTACATTGAATTTTCTCTCATACAATATGACTAGACCAGCTTGTCTGAAAGAGTGAGCTCACGTGCGCACAGCTCTGGTTGTATTAGGAATACTAATTGGGCATAAAGGGGAAAACAGATTGGTGAGAAAATGCTATGATGAAGGCTTTATGCTGAAATGCGTCAGCTATCCGGCCGAGAAATTCTTTGAAGTTTCTGGGAATCACTGAGAAATAGGAGAAGCTTGAGTGAAAAAGTTTGGGAACCCCTGCTGTAGGAGAGAAAAGGGTAACCTCTGTTGAGTCACTGGTTGGTTTGTTTAATCATTCACCTGGGTGACGTTTTATGGGGTAGTGCTTTTCCCAGCATAGAGATGTGTTGGGTTTGGTATAGTTTAACACCATCTATGTCACGATCGTCTAAGGAGGGAGAGGACCAAGGCGCAGCGTTGAAAGCAAACATATTTATTTTATCAAGATCACACGATCAAAACAACGAAACGTGACGTCCTTGGTTACAAAAACAAACCAACACGGAACAAAAACCCACAAACACAAGGTGAAGACACACAGTTTAAATATGGCTCCCAATCAGAGATAACGAGCCGACAGCTGACACTCGTTACCTCCGATTGGGAGTCACTCAATACAAACATAGACATCGACAACCTAGACACCCAACATAGAACATGAACACATAGAATGCACACACCCTGGCTCAACATAATGAGTCCCAGAACCAGGGTGTGACAGTACCCCCCCCCTAAAGGCGCGGACTGCGACCGCGCCTCAAAAACCCCAAACAGGGGAGGGCTGGGCGGGCATACCTCCTCGGTGGCGGTTCTGGCTCCGGCCTTGACCACCACCCTACAATACACCCCCCAATGCGCCCCTGGTCCAGTCTGTCGACTCGCACCCCTGGCCTGGTGCGTGGAGGAGGAACGGGCCTTACCAGGCTGACGACACGCGCCCCTGGCTTGGTGCGTGGAACAGGAATGGACCGGAATGGGCTGGCGACGCGCACCACAGACCTGGTGCGGAGAGCAGGAACGAGCCGGACAGGGCTGACGACGCACCCCGTAGGCTTGGTGCGTGGAGGAGGAACGGGCCTTACCAGGCTGACTTCTCGCACCCCTGGCTTAGTGCGAGTGGCAGGAACAGGCCGGACCGGGCTGGCGACGCGCACCGTAGGTTTGGTGCGAGTGGCAGGAACAGGCCGGGTCGGGCTGGCGACGCGCACCGTAGGTTTGGTGCGAGTGGCAGGAACAGGCCGGGTCGGGCTGGCGACGCACACCGTAGACTTGGTGCGGGTGGCAGGAACAGGCCGGACCGGGCTGGCGACGCGCACCGTAGGTTTGGTGCGAGTGGCAGGAACAGGCCGGGTCGGGCTGGCGACGCGCACCGTAGACTTGGTGCGGGTGGCAGGAACAGGCCGGACCGGGCTGGCGACGCGCACCGTAGGTTTGGTGCGAGTGGCAGGAACAGGCCGGGTCGGGCTGGCGACGCGCACCGTAGACTTGGTGCGGGTGGCAGGAACAGGCTGGACCGGGCTGGCGACGCGCACCGTAGGTTTAGTGCGTGGAGCAGGAACAGGCCGGGCTGGGCTGGCGACGCACACCGTAGGTTCTGTGCGTGGAGCAGGAACAGGCCGGGCTGGGCTGGCGACGCACACCGTAGGCTTGATGCGAGAAGCAGGAACAGGCCGGGCTGGGCTGGCGACGTACACCGTAGGCTTAGTACGTGGAGCAGGAACCGGCCGGGCTGGACTGGCGACGCACACCGTGGGCTTGATGCGAGAAGCAGGAACAGGCCGGGCTGGGCTGGCGACGCACACCCCTGGCTTGATGCGTGGAGGAGGAACGGGCCGGACCGGGCTGACGAAGCGCACCCCTGACTTGGTGCGGGGAGCAGGACTGAGCCGGACCGGGCTGACGACGCGCACCACTGACCTGGTGCGGGGAGCTTGGATGGGCCGGACTGGGCTGGCGACGCGCACCACAGACTTGGTGCGGAGAGCAGGAACGGGCCGGACAGGGCTGACGAAACGCACCATAGACTTGGTGCGGAGAGCAGGCACGGGCCGGACAGGGCTGGCGACGCGCACCACTGACCTGGTGCGGGGAGCTTGGATGGGCCGGACTGGGCTGGCGACGCGCACCACAGACCTGGTGCGGAGAGCAGGAACGGGCCGGACAGGGCTGACGAAACGCACCATAGACTTGGTGCGGAGAGCAGGCACGGGCCTGACAGGGCTGGCGACGCGCACCACAGACTTGGCGCGGAGAGCAGGAACGGGCCGGACAGGGCTGACGACGCACACCACTGGCTTGGTGCGGGGAGCTTGGATGGGCCGGACTGTACTGGGGACACACACCACTGGCCCTACACCGGGATCTGGAACGGGCCGGACCGGACTGGCAACACACGCCAGTACCTCTCGCCGTGCCTCTACTTCCTCCATCCCCTCTTCAACCAGTGGCCCCCGTAACCCGGCGGCCTCCTCCGGCAACCCACTGGACCGCTCTATCGCGGCCTCCTGCTGGTCCGACGTCGTGAGCCCCCCCCTAAAAATGTTCTGGGGTTCTCTCCTCTTCGTGGACCAGGCCTCCATCGTTCTCGCCAGACTCTCACCCCACTGCTCCAAAGTCCAACCTCTCTCCTCTTCTCTTGGCTTGGCCCAGTCGAGACTCCTACTCAACTGCTCCCAAGTCCATCCTCTCTCTTCTTCACGCTGCTTGGTCCTGTTATGGTGGTTTCTTCTGTCACGATCGTCTAAGGAGGGAGAGGACCAAGGCGCAGCGTTGAAAGCAAACATATTTATTTTATCAAGATCACACGATCAAAACAACGAAACGTGACGTCCTTGGTTACAAAAACAAACCAACACGGAACAAAAACCCACAAACACAAGGTGAAGACACACAGTTTAAATATGGCTCCCAATCAGAGATAACGAGCCGACAGCTGACACTCGTTACCTCCGATTGGGAGTCACTCAATACAAACATAGACATCGACAACCTAGACACCCAACATAGAACATGAACACATAGAATGCACACACCCTGGCTCAACATAATGAGTCCCAGAACCAGGGTGTGACAATCTAGCATAGCATTGCTGTTGCTTATCTAAATTAGTGCACAAAGTGTCTGAACACAAATTATTTTCTGCCTACTTGGGATGGTCATAAAATGCATAAATAAAATGAAAAATACTGCCTGTGACATTTCAAACTGATAATGTTATTATGTGGTAATGAATTGCCTTTTTCCTACACAGTTGTAGGATCATTCTCAGGAAGAATAGAATACATACACACGCACGCACACGCACACGCTCACACACACACACACACACACACACACACACACACACAAACATACATACTTCATCCCAGGAGGCGGTCACGTTCACCAACTCTATCTCAGTGGTGGTCAGGTTGTACTCCAATACTTTGTACTCCTCTTTGCAGAGGTACTCCTACAGGATAGACAACAAAAGAAGAACATTATCTTGGCAACAACAAGTTAGGTCAATACACACACGCTCATGCAAGCACACACACAGACACAGACACAGACACACACAGAAACAGACACAGACACAGACACAGACACACACACAGACACAGACACACACAGAAACAGACACAGACACAGACACAGACACAGACACACACACACACACACACACACACTCTTCCTCTGGGTATGAATATAAACAGTAGTGTAAGAAGAATGCAAAGCTTGTGTTGTCCTACTGTAGTGTCCTGTTCAGTTTAAAGACAGAATAGACAGTATGTTCAGGAGACAGAGAGGAATTACTGATAAGATTGATACAACAACTATACTGTGACCCTAATATAGCCTTTTTGGCTGAGGATGGCATGTATGTCTGTCTCTGTCTATTTCTTGATGGGCCTTATGGCAAGGTGGTATGAAGGGCATGTGTGTGTCTTGGGGTGCAGTTGGGGTGGGGAGGGGGGCTGCGCGTGTTTTGGATTCCAGATGTTGGACTGAGAAGATGAGTCCAAATAATCATGTACTCAAATACTCATGCATGTGAACCCAGGTCTGGTGTGGGTAAGTGGGTGTGTTTGTGTAAGCCAATTCCTGTGTCTTCTTTAGACATGAGGACAAAAACCCACCAGAACTTACATAACCATCTGGGACACTAACATAGCTCATTGACAAAACCAGAGTTATCATCAACCTTCTCTCCCCTCCACTTCCTCTCCTCAAGTCTGTACATTCCACATGCAAATGTACATTACATACAGTATCAATGACTACAACAGGTGCTCCTCCAACCCAACTCCATCCAACATCTTCATTTTGTTTTCCCCCAATCTCAACCATTACAGCCCTCTACCAGACTTTACCCAAGTAAAATGCCCACTTCGACGATGACTCAAAGTTCCAGCATACTGTACCACATCTAGATGAACCCATCCATCCTTCTCCCCTCCCCCTGTCCTTCCCCCATTCCCCCTCCCTCATTTACTCCCATGCCCAAGTACACAAAACCGCCTCACCTCTATCTTTGTGACCAGTGCCAGCGTGTCGTACCACATCTGTATGGAGCCGGGCAGCTGTCTGGTGAGGGTCATACGGAGAACCATGCAGTAGGAGGCAGTGGTGAAGATCCGCCTCAGGATAATGCCCTGGAGAGATCAGATTGAGATTGTACTTTATTAATCCCCAATGGAAGTATTCCACAGATTTCTAACCTCATTATATCCAGCACAATGCCGGTGTCTACATACAGTGCATTCGGAAAGTATTCAGAGGCCTTGACTTTTTCCACATTTTGTTACATTACAGCCTTATTATAAAATTCATTAAATAATAGTTTTTTCTCATCAATATACACACAATACCCCATAATGACAAAGCAAAAACAGGTTTTTAGAACTTTTTATAAAACATTTAAAACAGAAATATCTTATTTACATAAGTATTCAGACCCTTTGCTATGAGACTCAAAATTGAGCTCAGGAGCATCCTGTTTCCATTGATCATCCTTGAGATGTTTCTACAACTTGATTGGAGTCCACCTGTGGTAAATTCAATTGATTGGACATGATATGGAAAGGCACACACCTGTCTATATAAGCTCCCATAGTTGACAGTGCATGTCAGAGAAAAACCAAGCCATGAGGTCGAAGGAATTGTCCGTAGAGCTCTGAGACAGGATTGTGTCGAAGCACAGATCTGGGAAGGGTACCAAAACAATTCTTCAGCATTGAAGGTCCCCAAGAACACAGTGGCCTCCATCATTCTTAAATGGAAGAAGTTTGGAACCACCAAGACTCTTCCTAGAGCTGGCCGCCCGGCCAAACTGAGCAATCAGGGGAGAAGGGCCTTGGTTAGGGAGGTGACCAATAACCTGATGGTCACTCTGACAGTGCTCTGGAGTTCCTCTGTGGAGATGGGAGAACCTTCCAGAATGACAACCATCTCTGCAGCTCTCCACCAATCAGGCCTTCGTGGTAGAGTGGCCAGACGGAAGCCACTCCTCAGTAAAAGGCACATGACAGCCCGCTTGGAGTTTGCCAAAAGGCACCTAAACAAGATTCTCTGGTCTGATGAAACCAAGATTGAACTCTTTAGCCTGAATGCCAAGCATCATGTCTGGAGGCAACCTGGCACCATCCCTACGGTGAAGCATGGTGGTGGCAGCATCATGCTGTGGGGATGTTTTTGAGCAGCAGGGACTGGGAGACTAGTCAGGAAAAAGGCAAAGATGAACGGAGCAAAGCACAGAGAGCTCCTTGATGAAAACTTGCTCCAGAGCGCTCAGGATCTCAGACTGGGGCGAAGGTTCACCTTCCAACAGGACAACGACCCTAAGCACACAGCCAAGACAACGCAGGAGTGGCTTCGGGACAAGTCTTTGAATGTCCTTGATTGGCCTTGTCAGAGCCTGGACTTGAACCCGATCGAACATCTCTGGAGAGACCTGAAAATAGCTGTGCAGTGAAGCTCCCCATCCAACCTGACTGAGCTTGAGAGGATCTGCAGAGAAGAATAGGAGAAACTCCCCAAATGCAGGTGTGCCAACCTTGTAGCGTCATACCCAAGAAGACTCGAGGCTGTAATCGAGGCTGTAATCGCTGCTTTGCTTCAACAAAGTACTGAGTAAAGGGTCTGAATACTTATGTAAATGTGATATTTCATTTTTTATTCTTAATAAATTAAACCTGTTTCTGATCTGTCGTTATGGGGTATTGTGTAGATTGATGAGTAAAAAACAAAGAATTTAATCCATTTTAGAATAAGGCTGTAACGTAACAAAATGTAGGAAAAGTCAAGGGGTCTGAATACTTTCCGAATGCACTGTATGTGAAAATGGTACACTTCTATATTTTGAAGTAAAACAGATGAGAACATGTCCTTTATTAAACCCCAAGGGGAAATTCATTGGTCATACTTTGTCATAGTAAAAAACAAATAATACAAATACTCAACACATAAAAGACATCACAAGTAAATTAAAATTGATATAAATATATAGAGGCCAGTGGATAAAGTACCTTGCTGAGGGCGTGTGGCACGATGGCTGACACAATGACCAGGATAGCAGAGAAGAAGTAGGAGGCACTGTAGAAGTAACGCAGAGAACCAATCTTCCTCGTCAATGACATCTCATCCCTGGGAGAGGTGGGGGGGGGGGGGGGGGGGGGGGGGGATTAACTTGATAGAATACTTACTATTATGTAACCTCTCTTACATTTGTATCTTCATTCATGTTCTATTCATAAAGTGCCTTGCAAAAGTATTCATCCCCCTTGGCGTTTTTCCTATTTTGTTGCATTACAACCTGTAATTTAAATGGATTTTTATTTGGATTTCATGTAATGGACATACACAAAATAGTCCACATTGGTGAAGTGAAATTAAAAAAATAACTTGCTTCAAAAAATTATAATAATGGAAAAGTGGTGCGTGCATATGTATTCACCACCTTTGCTATGAAGCCCCTAAATACGATCTGGTGCAACCAATTACCTACAGAAGTCACATAATTAGTTAAATAAAGTCCACCTGTGTGCAATCTAAGTGTCACATGATCTGTCACATGATCTCAGTGTATGTTCCGAAAGGCCCCAGAGTCTGCAACACCACTAAGCAAGGGGCACCACCAAGAAAGCGGCACCATGAAGACCAAGGAGCTCTCCAAACAGGTCAGGGACAAAGTTGTGGAGAAGTACAGATCAGGGTTGGGTTATAAAAAAATATCCCAAACTTTGAACATCCCACGGAGCACCATTAAATCCATTATAAAAAAATGGAAAGAATATGGCACCACAACAAACCTGCCAAGAGAGGACCACCCACCAAAACTCACGGACCAGGCAAGGAGGGCATTAATCAGAGAGGCATTAAAGAGACCAAAGATAACCCTGAAGGAGCTGCAAAGCTCCACAGCGGAGATTGGAGTATCTGTCCATAGGACCACTTTAAGCCGTACACTCCACAGAGCTGGGCTTTACGGAAGAGTGGCCAGAAAAAAGCCATTGCTTAAAGAAAAAAATAAGCAAACACGTTTGGTGTTTGCCAAAAGGCATGTGGGAGACTCCCCAAACATATGGAAGAAGGTACTCTGGTCAGATGAGACTAAAATTGAGCTTTTTGGCCATCAAGGAAAACGCTATGTCTGGCGCAAACACAACACCTCTCATCACCCCGAGAACACCATCCCCACAGTGAAGCATGGTGGTGGCAGCATCATGCTGTGGGGATGTTTTTCATCGGCAGGGACTGGGAAACTGGTCAGAATTTAAGGAATGATGGATGGAGCTAAATACAGGGAAATTCTTGAGGGAAACCTGTTTCAGTCTTCCAGAGATTTGAGACTGGGACAGAGGTTCACCTTCCAGCAGGACAATGACCCTAAGCATACTGCTAAAGCAACACACGAGTGGTTTAAGGGGAAACATTTAAATGTCTTGAAATGGCCTAGTCAAAGCCCAGACCTCAATCCAATTGAGAATCTGTGGTATGACTTAAAGATTGCTGTACACCAGCGGAACCCATTCAACTTGAAGGAGCTGGAGCAGTTTTGCCTTGAAGAATGGGAAAAAATCCCAGTGGCTAGATGTGCCAAGCTTATAGAAACATACCCCAGGAGACTTGCAGCTGTAATTGCTGCAAAAGGTGGCTCTACAAAGTATTGACTTTGGGGGGGGTGAATAGGTATGCACGCTCAAGTTTTTATTTTATTATTTATTATTTCTTGTTTGTTTCACAATAAAAAATATTTTGCATCTTCAAAGTGGTAGGCATGTTGTGTAAATCAAATGATACAAACCCCCCAAAAAATCCATTTTAATTCCAGGTTGTAAGGCAACAAAATAGGAAAAATGCCAAGGGGGGTGAATACTTTCACAAGCCACTGTAAATGCAGTACATTGGAATTATTTGGTTTTCTCATTGAAAAAACATAGTTTAAGCCAAATGTTGCCTAGACAAGGAAGCCAAGGTCACAAGATGTCCTGTCAACGGTCTTGACGCAGCGGCATCAATAGGTGGACAGACATCAACAGGGAAATCTAATTATGCATTTAGGCCTAAATCAGCAAATCAGACAGGGATTAAACATTGAACATTGGCAATTGACTCAGGGATTGTCCATTCATTGGCTGGACTACACAATGCAGGAGTGTTTCTCTGATTGGCTTTGTTTGTGAATGTCATGATCATAGATGGCAATGAATCCATCCTTTGAGCTTCGGGTCATATTTAATGGAATTTAAGTGAAATTATCTTGATGGGAATCTCATTAATTCATGTTTTTTTCCCCCAGAAGATCTCTGGTGGATGGGATAGTGTTCCTACCATGACTTTTCACCTCAGAGTATTGGAGTTATACATTAGAGGAGGGATGGGCAATTCCAGTCCTCAGGTGCCTGATTTGTGTCACACTTTTTCCCCAGCCCCAGTTAACACACCTGACTCCAATAATCAACTAATCGTGATCTTCAGTTTAGAATGCAATTAGTTTAATCAGCTGTGTTTGCTAGGGATGGTGAAAAGATGTGACATCATTCCATCATCCGAGGACTGGAGTTGCCCATCCCTGCGTTAAGTCAAAAGCATGACCACTTTCCCCATAGTTCTCGGATTGTTACCAGCAAACATGTCCACATTGGCACAATGTGGGCCCAATGCATGCTAAAATATTGGTCCCAAGTACGCTGCCAATATTGTGCCAATGCACCTTTGCTCATTGGCTCATGGGCTTATTTCAGGCAAAGTGAAGGCTGCCCTCACCAGAAATTCCCTGCCCACACTGGGCCACACTGGGAAAATGCCTTGGGGGCCAACGTGGATTTTCCCAGTGTGGGCAGTGCATTTATGGTGAGGGCAGCCTTCACTTTGCCTGAAATAAGCCCATCTTTTCCCCTGCAAACATGCCCACAGTAGCTAGGTTTCCATCCAATTGCCGACAGATTTTAATTTTGAATATGCAAAAATCGACATAAAAACAATATGCACATTTTCCCACCAGAGATGTGTTTCCATCAAATTGACTTGTTGCAGATAAAAGGCTGTGCGTGATGACGTAGTGCACATAAAAATACCTTTTGCGGTTAAATTCCCATGTACCGAATAAAAAATACAAGTAAATGGGTTTCCCATCTACTGATGGTTTTCTCACAAACAATGTTGCGTTACATACAGTGGCAAACCGTCATCGAAACAATCTTGAAGCATGGATTCCGGTTGGTCAGACCAATGTTGAATAGACCTTAGGACGGGGACTTCCTCTTTGAGTTTCTGCCTATAGGAAGGGAGGAGCAGAATGAACTTGTGATCTGATTTGCCGAAGGGAGGGCGGGGGAGGGCCTTGTAGCCCTCTTGGGTGCTGACATAGATTTACAATAGAAGTGCCCATCCGGCCACCTGAGCGGCGCAGCGGTCTAAGGCACTTGAGGCGTCACTACAGACCCGGGTTCGATCCCAGCCTGTGTCACAACTGGCTGTGAACCGGATTCCGTGGTGGTGGCAAACAATTGGCCCCGTGTCATCCGGGTTTCAGGATGGGTTTGGCTGGGGGGGGCTTTACTTGCTCATCGCCCTCTAAGCGACTCCTTGTGTCGGCCACTCTGAGTATTTCAAAAGTGCTGCGTGCAATATTTATTTAACTACGTCAGTCTACTCTCTCATTTGTCTTAATCTAAATTACGGATTTCCGCTCATCGCTCCCTTATGCCAGAGTTTGTACATCTCAAATGTAAGTAGAAACCACATTTGTTTAAGTAAGTCAGCCATATCAGCTATGTTTTTTAAAAAGGCAGTAAATGAGGCTGAGAATGCTTGGCAGATGAACTGTTTGCCCGCTGATGCCAGTAGAAGTGGTAATGATTCCGCGAAAAGAAGCTCTGCTGTTGGGACAGATAGCCTACAGGTCACGTAGAGTCTTGTTAGTGTTGTTGTGTTGGTTGTGTAGTGACTTCGCTGGATTCACTATTAAATTTTGTGTGCCTCCAAGATTTCATCTAAAAACGCACGGTAAATAGTGTGCCCCACTCTGGTATTGGCACGTGCGCTTTAGCCAACAGCTCGCAGATACAGGGCGGGTAGAGCCTATATAATGAGATTATTATGGACAAAAGAGCTCAATTATTTTTATTTGTTAAATGGCAGTCAAGCATCTACCATCATGTCGCCAGAATAAGACCCTTGACATTTATTGTAAAGGAGTATCAAGCTCATACGGTGCACTTTCACCACCCTGTGAAGTTCCTCATAACCTATTTCATCTGTAGCCTGTAAACTGCAAGGATTAGTGGGAGGACCACACACCATGTCTTCGCGTGACTCCAAGTTTACTTCGATATGATGGTTATTATATCACTTCCATTTCCACTGCCATTTCTCGCATAATACATTTTACTGACACAAAAAGATCCCACCATGTCGAACGAACAAATTATCTGTCGGGTTTTATAAAATTGTACCGAACCTTCCTGTTTCCATCACAGCTGTCGTGATTTTTTTCCACGGAGGGCCGAGTGTCTGCAGGTTTTTGTTCCACCCTTTTACTTGATTGATGAATTAAGGTCACTAATTAGTAAGGAACTCCCCTCACCTGGTTGTCTAGGTCTTAATTGAAAGGAAAAACCGAAAACCTGCAGACACTCGGCCGCCATGGAATGAGTACGACACCCCTGATGAACAGTATTAGGTTGTAGTTAGGTTATGGAGGGTTTTGTGTGTTGTCTTACTGTCTGATGTTCTTGATGATGGTCTCCATCACCTCCTCCCAGCCGTAGGCCTTCACTGAGTGGATGTTCTCTACGATCTCTGAGGTCAGAGCAAGACGACGACTGATCATCCCTGCTCTTTTCTGCCTGATTATAGGACCCCCCCCCCCCCCCCAACACACACAAACACACACACACACACACACACACACACACACACACACACACACAGAATAAGACACATGTACTTACGCACACATACACACACAAGATGATAAAATGAATTTCCAAGTTCAGAGAGATGGCTGAGCATAAACATCCAAACTTGATGGGTCTGCATGTTAATTAACAAGATTTATTCCTGGATCAAACAGTTTTTGTGCCGAATACACTGTGGTGTTATACGTGTCACGTTTATGGCCATGTCACAGCAGTGTGTAGGAGGGAGATTCCAAGATGTGGGAAGTGTGCAGAAGGACATGGGACAGAGGAATGTGTAGTTTTGATGGAAAAAGTTGTCAACTGTAGGGGTGCCCATGTTGCTGGGGATCAGAGGTGTCCGGTGCGAGAGAGGCAGGTTGAGGTGGCTAGAGTCAGAGTAGTGCAGAAGATGTCATATGCTGAGGCAGTGAAGAAAGTAGAGGAGGATGGATCAAGGGTGAGGGATTCTGAGAGGATCCCTGTGAATAGTAGATCTGTGCTAGAACAGAGGGATAGGCCAATGAATGATACGTTTCAGTAAGGTTGGCTTCTTATCATTCAATAGCAATGGTTATCAACTGTACCGCAGAGATGGAACATAAGTCACAGAAAATAGATGATGTGGTGGCAGCTGCAGAGAAGTACTTGGGGGTACAAGATTTGACTTTAGAAGAGTTACAGGGTGTGTTGAGTGGTAGTGTCCCGTCCACACTGGTCGTTGGCCTGGGGTAGGGTCAGATCGGGTTAAAGTAGTGGAATAAGGTTGTGGGTATATATTTTAATTTTATTTTTCCCATTTCCCCTTAACCCACCATTTTGTTTACATTTTCCTTTCTATTTTGTGTCAATTGATGCACATTTAACGATGCACTGTTGGTTATTAGCGGTAGAATGTTAGTCCAGTACCCACCTGTGAGGCCCAATCTTCTGTGAGAGGCAGGCCTGCACAATGCCCAGCAGGGTGAGGGCAGCCAGGGCACAGAAACCATTCACCTCTATCAGCTCCCAGATCAAACCCACACACAGGATACACTGCAGAGGGGTGATCCACACAAAGTGGGCCAGGCCAAGGCTCTGCAACACACATGAATGTATGAAGAGACATGCAGGAACACAACAGTGTTTGTAAGCTTTTAAATTATATCAAATTCAACTGTTTATTTTCCAGTGATGAAGACATGGATGTCTCATGGTATGGTGGGGTATGCAAAATGTCAAAAAAGTCACTTTCTGACCACTTCTTCCATGGGCGAACATATGGAAAGTTTTGTTTAAATCCAAAGGGATGCTGTCAAAAAGTGATTGAATTCAAATGGATTTACCCTACCACATACAGTAGTTAAATTGGGAGATATTCCTGGGAGTACAGCTAGTAGTGGGGTGTTTGGATGACGACACAACAATGATTTAAATCCCCGGCCTGACTACGTGTGGCCCGTCACTGCCCCATGGCCACCTATTCCCGCTCCAAATGGCTATTCTATCACCCGTCCTGTCCTCCTCCATTTCACTCAACGGTGGTGTCCCCTATGGACGTAAGTCTTCGATAGAACGTCATTCAGACCAAAGTTACTCTCTCTGACCTTCTGATTAGACATGCACACCCAGTGGGTGATATCTTGGACATCTCACCAGGAGTAACAAATTGTGCACAAATTTGAGAGAAATAACTTTTGTGGTATAGGAACATTCTGGATCTTTATTTCAGCTCATGAAAATCACTTAACTTTGTATATTTTGTTCATTTAAAACGCCAGTAAATGTTGTCCCAGTTTCAAGGGCATAAAGATCCTCATCATAGCCAAAAGCTCATTTCTCTGTGACATTTGTTACATCCCTGTTGTGATTTCTCCTTTGCAATAATCACACTGACAGGTGTGGCTAGAAGCTGATTAAACAGCATGATCATTACACATGTGCACGCTGATGCTGGGGACAATAAAAGGCCACTCTAAAATGTGACGTTGTTGTCCCATAACACAATTGCCACAGATGTATCAAGTTTGTTGAGGGAGCAGGGAGGCATTCAATTTGGCAAGCTGGCTGCAGGAATGTCCACCAGAGCTGTTGCCAGAGAATTTAATGTTAATTTCTTTAACATAAGCCACCTCCAACGTCATTTTAGAGAATTTGGCAGTACGTCCAACCGGCCTCACAACTGCAGACCACTTGTAACAACGCCAGCCTAGGACCTCCACATCCGGCTTCTTCACCTGCGGGATCATCTGAGACCAGCCACGTTGCGTTTTTATATTTTTGTTCAGGTCAAGTAGATTATTTGGGTCCTTAGTTCTCATCCATCTTGTTGAGGTTAGGGTTAGTACAGCAGATGAGTTGGGTGGTTCTTACCTCATCCAGCTTGTTGAGGTGGGCAGACATCAGGCTGACCAGCTGACCTGTGCTGATCTTGTCCAGGACCCGGCTGGACAGCTTCAGAGTCTTGGGGGTTAGGACGGACACAAAGGGTTGAAAGGTCAGGGGTTAGGATGGACACAAAGGGTTGAAAACGTGACACAGGAGATGCTGCTGGGTGTAGCAGCCACACAGCTGACCCTCACACTAGAGTGTGGCTACACCGAAGAGGGTGATGTGGATCTGCATGTATGCCAAGGTGGTGGTATGTCAGATGCACACAAACACACACCACTCCCCCCCCCCCCCCCCCCCACACACACACACACACATCACTTCTCCCCCACATGCACCTTCTTATAGATGAGGCTGAAGAGAGCGATGCGTATCTGCATGCCCAGGTGGTGCAGTCCAAAGATGGCTGGCTGCAGGAGCAGGAACCGAGTGATGAAGAGAAGACTGAGACCCAGGGCCAGGTAGTAGCCCTGCTCCCGCTCCTGGGCATGGATGGGGTCGAACGAGCCAATGATACGACCCAGGAGCTGGGGCTGCACTGCCTTCGACGCCTCCTGGAAGAAAATATAAAAATACATATCTATCATGCTATAATGATCAGTGTGTTCCTGAAAATCTGAAGTAGCCTGTATAATGAAAAAAGTATCCAGTATGGGGAGGGGGCAAAAATGTAGCCCTACGAAACTGAATTTGGTGGCACCTTGATATCATGGTCTTAATGATATACCTTGATACCTCTACTCTTATTCTCCCATAAGCCCTGAACTGATGGGCATTCCTAGAAGGGGGATCACCTCACACCACCAGGCTACGCAAGACCTGCTGCTGACGTCAACTTCCTCTCCAAGCCGGGGACACTGGGATACTCACACTGCAGTGACGCATGCTTCTTCTCCATACTATGGTCATGCTGCTAATTCACTAGTAAGTACCACACATGTACAGGACAGAACAGGCTAACAGCCAGCCTAGGTTGGGTTGAGTTCCGTTCCATTCCAGTTCCAACTCCCTCCATCAATTCAGGAAGTGAATTTGAACTCAGTTCATGTGTTGAATGAGAAACTGAAACTCCCCATTGACAATGGTCGCTTTTTTTCATTCTTGAATTGGAATTTCCATTCCCTTCCTGAATTGAAATGGAATTGACCACACACACAACCCTATCAACGGCAGCACACCTCTGCTGTCACAATATATGACATGTTTTCATATGAGAGATACTGTATGAGAGACAGATGCAGTTAAAAAGGGCAAAATAACACTATCATAAGACCCACATATAAATACAAGGTGGTTCATCATCTGGTATTGTAGTAATAAAGTATGCAGGCCTTTGTAACAATCGTGGCCAACTCCGGTTGTGGAGAGCCCACAATGTGTGCAGGCTTTTGCTCTAGCCAAGCTCCAATACACCTGATCAAATAGATTGTTATTCGGTTTTATATAGAGTTTGACTCATGTGGGTTAGTTAGACTAGAGAAAAACATATATTTAAAAAAGAAATTGCAACTGTTGGCCACCTGTGCTTTCTGTGGAGAGATGGACTCACCCCAAAGTACAGCAGGATTCCGTAGAACACAAAAGGCCAGAGGAAACAACGGGAGAGCGCCCGCAGGAGCCGAGGCTTCTTCTTGGCTGATGCCACTTCTCGGTCCCATTCTCTACACCAGGAAAACAGACCAGAGGAGTTAGAAGCTATTAAAAAAACACACACATTGGCTAACAGTAAAAGTAAAGTAGGGGCACATTGTTCAGGGCACTGGTGTATAACCTGGGCAATTTGTCTGACTTATTAAATGGAGTGCAGAGACCTTGACGAACGAGGGAGAAAAATAAATTTGAGAATTTGTGAGAAAAAGAGAGCGGAGGGAGGGAATAAATCAGAGAGAGGAGGAAAACAGGTGATATGAGAGAGAGACATGGACAGAGAGAGGGAGTAAGAGAATACGTGGGTGCGCATAATAGATTGAGGGACCATACCAACCTGTTAATTCAAGGTAAATTCCCATGCAGCTACCACTGTAAAGGGCATCTGGCCCTTTCAAAGGTCGACTTTTACACCCATTTAGAGGGCTGCTGGCACCCTTTACAGTGACACTGCCCCTACCCTCACCCCATAGTGGCCCCTGCAGCAAGGCCAGCATGGTGCATGGTTGTGTTTGTTTCGTTTTTGAAAAATAACTTTGGATGAAGAATAATAGTTATAAAATGGGTGGCAGGTGGTTTAGAGTGTGGTGCCAGTAACCGAAAGGTCACTGGTTCTAATCCCGAGCCGACTAGGTGAAAAATCTGTCGATGTGCCCTTGAGCAAGGCATTTAACCCTAATTGCTCATGTAAGTCGCTCTGGATAAGAGCGTCTGCTAAATGACTAAAATGTAAATGTTATATAAATTTAATACATGAGTTCAACGTGCCTTAAATGTTCATAAAGGGAGGCACTTTGGCTGATACAAACCTTTCTAGTCGTTCAGAAAGAGTGTCTGCCAGATCAAAAGAGGGTGCTTTATAAACATCTGTCAAATCCAACTTCTTTCTGAAGCCCTTCCTCAACAGTGGAGATGTCCACCTGCAAAACAACAGAATGGGTGGGTATGGGAGGTTTGGTTGGTAAAAAGCATAGAATATAGCCTACTTCTGAGGTACCTACAGTAGATCAATCTCCTCTGAAGTTGACCACAGATAAGCCTACTAAAAGAAATGGAAAAACTTATTCAAGAAAGATCAAGTGTAATATATTATAAAAATAAAGCAAACTGGATGGAATATGGGGAAAAATGCACAAAATTCTTTTTTAATCTTCAACATAGGAATGCTACCAAAAAGAACTTAATGAAACTGGTTACAATTGACGGAGTCACCCATAATTCACCTAATGATATTTTGAAGGAAGAAACAAAGTATTTTAAGCATATGTTTTCTTTTCAGTCGCCTCCATCTCCTCGAACTGAAGCTAATTGTAGAGATTTTTTTCCTATTGATAATGTCAAATTAACAGCCACACAGAAAGACTCATGTGAAGGTGAAATTACAGAGGAGGAACTTCTGGATGCAATTAAAGACTTTAAGTCCGGGAAAACTCCAGGGTTGGATGGCATACCAATCGAGGTATACCAAACCTTTTTTGAAATACTAAGAGGACCGTTATTAGCATGTTTTAACCACTCCTATGTAAATGGTAGATTATCTGACACTCAAGAAGAAGGTCTGATCTCATTATTACTGAAACAGGATACAAGTGGAAAATATAAAGATCCAGTCCATTTACAAAATTGGAGGCCCCTTACACTTCAGTGTTGTGATGCAAAAATCCTAGCAAAATGTATAGCGCATAGAATTAAAAAGGTATTGTCGGATATTATTCATTCTAATCAGACAGGTTTTTTACATGGAAGATACATTGGAGACAATATAAGGCAAGTATTGGAAACAATAGAACACTATGGAAAATATGGGAAACCAGGCCTGCTATTCATAGCAGACTTCGAAAAGGCATTTGATAAAGTTCGACTGGAATTCATATATAAATGCCTGGAGCATTTCAATTTTGGAGAATCTCTTATAAAATGGGTCAAAATCATGTATAGTAACCCTAGGTGTAAAATAGTAAATAATGGCTATTTCTCAGAAAGTTTCAAACTGTCAAGAGGAGTGAAACAAGGTTGTCCACTATCGGCATATCTATTTATTGTGGCCATCGAGATGTTAGCTATTAAAATCAGATCCAATAATAATATCAGAGGATTAGAAATACAGGGCTTAAAAACAAAGGTGTCATTGTACGCAGATGATTCATGTTTTCTTTTAGATCCACAACTAGAATCCCTCCACAGCCTCATAGAGGATCTAGATACATTTTCTAACCTCTCTGGATTAAAACCAAATTATGACAAATGTACTATATTACGTATTGGATCACTAAAAAAATACAATTTTTACATTACCATGTAGTTTACCAATAAAATGGTCTGATGGTGATGTGGATATACTCAGAATACATATCCCAAAGGAAATAAATGATCTCACTTCAATAAATGTTAATAGAAAGTTAGCAAAAATAGATAAGATCTTACTACCATGGAAAGGAAAATACCTGTCAATTTGTGGAAAAATCACCCTGATTAACTCTTTAGTATTATCCCAGTTTACCTATTTGCTTATGGTCTTGCCTACGCCTAGCAAACATTTTTTTAAATTATATGAGAAAAAAATATTCAATTTTATTTGGAACGGCAAGCCAGACAAAATTAAAAGAGCATATTTATATAATGAATATGAATTCGGAGGACAGAAATTATTAAATATTAAAGCATTAGACCTATCACTAAAATCTTCAGTCATCCAAAAGTTATACTTAAATCCGAACTGGTTCTCAAGCAAATTAGTAAGATTGTCTCACCCACTGTTCAAGAAAGGCCTTTTTCCCTTTATTCAGATTACAACCTCTCACTTTCAGTTATTTGAAAAGGAAATAATCTCCCAAATGTCACTATTTCTAAAACAAGCCATAGAAAGTTGGTTACAATTTCAATTTAATCCTCCAGAAACGACAGAACAAATAATGCAACAAATATTGTGGTTAAATTCAAATATACTAATTGACAAAAAACCTATATTTATTGACAGAATGTTTAAAAAAGGTATAATCTTCGTAAATGATATCATCGGTAGGACTGGTGGAGTTATGTCGCACATGCAGCTAATAAAAACATATGGAAATGTCTGCTCTACCCAAAATTACAACCAAATAATTGCAGCCATACCGCAAAAGTGGAAGAGGAAAGTTGAAGGGGGAGAAAGTAAGGAACTTGTCTGTCGGCCTTGCATTAAAGAACATAATTGGTTAAGGAAAACTGTGATAAATAAAAAAGTATATCAGTTTCACTTAAGGACCAAAGGATTGACAGCAGTCCCATATAGATTGCAAAATAGTTGGGAAGAGATCTTTGACGTACCGATCCCATGGCATAGTGTTTATGAACTGACACGCAAAACGACACCGGATTCAAAAATTAGAATCTTTCAATTTAAATTATTATATAAAATTCTTGCTACCAATAGAATGTTATTTATATGGGGGATACAATCTTCCCAGCTCTGCAGATTTTGCTGTGAAGAGATAGAATCATTAGATCATTTGTTTTGGTTCTGTCCATTTGTAGCTTGTTTTTGGACACAGGTCCAGGAATGGCTAAAGGATTGCAATATTTACCTGGAACTAACCTTGCAGATAGCATTACTGGGTGATCTGAAAAGTCATAGTCAATCAATCAATAATATAATAATACTTTTAGCAAAAATGTTTATTTTTAATTCACAATCTGTAGAAGCAATGAGAATAGAAAGGTTCAGAACTTTTGTAAAACATCACAGTATGGTTGAAATATATATGGCAAATAGAAATCCTATATGGATGGTGTTAAGAGATAGATGGGAGGTATTGAATAGAGTTGAAGGATGGGACTAATAACAAATAACAACAAATAATAACAAAGATAGCTAATAATGTAAGCATACTGTGTCCATAATAAGTATATAGGTTGTATGTTGGGAGCTTTTGGGAAGGAGCACAGTTAGAAAGATATGGCATTTAGAGGCAAACCGGATGGACATCATGAAGATGATCGGAGAGGTTGAGAGTAGAAGAAGTTCAGGAGAAAAAAAATAAATAGATGTGTATATGTATATGTATGTATATATGTATATATATATATATATATATATATATATATATGTATGTGTGTGTGTAAGTGTATGTATGTATATATATATATATATATATATATAGATATAGAATTATTGTAAAATTAACTCTGTCCATAAGGTGTAGATAGTGAGTATGGACCGGAAGTAGAGGCCTGGGCGTTGTTGTTCACTAATTTACTCCAAGTAGGGAAAGGATGGTGGGGTTGAAAAGTAATAAAGGGGAATATATATATATAAAAAAAAATAAAAAAATATGGGGGATTGGAAGTGATGCAGACAATTACATTGATAGAAGATACAATCTATCTGCAATATTAAGCTGATCCTTCCCCCCGAAAAAAAATAAATAAATAAATAAATAAATAAAGATAAGCCTACTATATATATTATATAATATATAATAAATATATAAAATAAATTAAATTAATTAATTCATCTTAAATGTAAAGTCATCATATTTGGGGACCCTATTTTTTATTATTTTATTATATTCAGTCTGGTATGGGAACGGTAGCCCCTATCTGCAAAAGCAGGGTGTCTGCGGAAAGCTGAGTATCTTGCCTATTGATCGGTGCCTTCAAATCTTTGTTATGACTTACTACGATATATGGGCATACAAATTTATAAGGGCAGGCCGAGCCGATTACCTCATTTCAAGATGGCTGCTACCTACATTCCGGTTAGCGTTGTGAAACATAAACGAAATAAACACGGAATATGTTGATACACGCCGAAAGCCGGGACGCCACAGATAATAAGGATGTCTTATTTGTCTGCCTCTGACCTAACGTTATTGATCACTAGCCCCGAGAGTCAAAATGTTTATTTTACATGTTTTCACTAAACAGCAAACATTTGACAAGGTATTCTTCGATTTGGTCTGTGTTTGAGCCATAGCTACATGGGGTGTATCAAATTAATCCTTAGGTTGGTAGGAACAAATCCAGCCTTTTACCAATGTTATCTGATGATGTATGACTTAATGGCAACATTGAATGTCCACCGAGTGACTATATCTTTGCGCATCAAAAATATGATGTTGCCTTCTAACGCGCTGTAGGCATCCATATCCCCTGTTTGTCCCCCGACACCACCACAATGTCTGAGAGAGGTTGGTGTTGTAGACATTTAGTTTTTATAGTGAACAATAACTTTAGGCATATCCAGTGTGCAAAAACAGTGCAATTACCACATTCTGACACTTTGGATAGGTTGAAAGGACACTTGAATGTACCCTGGATACCCAATAACACCACCACAATGTTTGAGTGAGGTTGATATGGTAGAAAAAAATGTTTTATACTGAACAAATAGCATTTGGGGATTGTAAATATGTAATAGCACTGGAATTATCTAATTTACAGACATATGCCACTTTGGAGAGGTTTAGGGACACTTGGAAACATCCAGTGACCACACCTGAAACCACTTACTAAAACATCTGCCCATTTCTAGTTGTTAGGTGTATCAATCCCATTTTTTTCTGATATTGTTCACATGTTGTGGAAGCCATCTGATGTGTTTCCAGCTCTAGTCATCAATAATTCACTTATAGCTTGTCAATGAAAGATGACTTTCAAAATTTAAAAAAATTTAAAACTGTTATTTTGTGTGTGCTTGATCTTGTGTATTCTGAACTATGTAACTCCTATCTATCTTCTGATCATTTCCTCATCATCTCCCAGAAGTCTTCTTTCTAAATATACCAATTTTTGCATGTCAGAATCATGAAATTACACATGAATAGCAGTTATTTTGGGGTATGTCTATTTAGGCGGAAATCTACATTTTGCCATTTCTTTCATTTATCAAAGGCCCATGCGGTCATATAGGGTGACAAAATCAAACATCAATCTATCAGC